GGCTGGCCTTCTCTCCTCCCACCACACTGCCCTCACCTCCAGCTCCTCAGCCCTTCCTCTCACACCCTTGCGCTCTTGGCTGTCTCCCCGCTAGTTGAGCCGAGCCAGCTATACCCAGAGAACACATCATGGAGCCTGGAAAGGAAAAAGGGACAGCGACCCCTCGAGAGCAGAATCAGAGTCCAAGACCTAACTTGAAGCCTGTAACAATGAATAAAAATTTACGGAAAAAAAAGAAGAAAGATCTAGAAGAGCTGAAGAAAGAAGTGGATATGGTGAGGAAACCCAGAGCAAATTGCCCTTGAAACACCCCTCAGCCTTCTGCCTGGTTGCCTCCCCGTCCTACCTAAGGGACAAAGCACACTCTCCCTTCCCTCTTCCTCCTCCCTGCACATCACCTGAGGTCATCATCTCACCTTGATGACTCTTCTGTCCCCTCAGGATGATCACAAGCTAACCTTGGATGAGTTGAGTGCCAAGTACTCTGTGGACTTGACCAGGGTGAGTAAGAACTCCTCAAGGAGGCAGAGGTTCTCACTGACTTGAGGCCACAAACCCAAATTTGTACCTCTTACCCTCAGCCCTGCAAAGTTCCACAAAACTCTGCTGGAAAAGATGGCCACAGTAACTACCCCAGAGAGAGGCTATGGGTAGATAGGATAGTATGGATGGTTGGGCTTACATTTTATATCCTTAGGGTTTATCGAGGTCTCCAAAGAGCTTTTGCTTAGGTAGAAATAACATTATCAGTATTTGCCATAGTAAAATTAAAACTGGCAAATTTTAGAAGTATTCCCAGTTCATTTACAAATAGAATGGTTGCTGGGAATGTGGCTCAGTGGTAGAGCCCTGAGTGGGACCCTGAGTTCAACCCCTAGAATTTCAAAAGAAAGAGAAGGAAAAAGATAAGGGTTCAGCCGGGCATTGGTGGCACACGCCTTTAATCCCAGCACTCGGGAGGCAGAGGCAGGCGGATCTCTGTGAGTTCGAGGCCAGCCTGGTCTACAAAGTGAGTTCCAGGACAGCCTCCAAAGCTACAGAGAAACCCTGTCTCGAAAAACTAAAAAAAAAAAAAAAAAAAAGATAAGGGTTCATTGTAAGCTGGTAGCAATAATATTTTCAACCAATAACTATGTCTTTCAAAAAATTAGTCATCTTATATTATATAAATGTCTTTAATATCTAGCTTTCTAATAGAAAAATCTGAATTCTCTTATCTTTTGGTGTTAAATCTATTGGGATATATCATGAAGTCTCTGGAAAACTTGAAGTGTTAGCTTCCTGTCAGGGTGACAGAATACCTCAATCTGTGGTGGCTTGGATGGGAAGGGCCCACAGCCCATATGTTTGAATACTTTGTCCGCAGTTGGTAGAACACGTGGGAAGAACTAGAAGGTGTGGCCTTGTTGGAGGAAATGTGTCAGAGGCTTTGAAGTTTCACAAGCCCAGCCACTCTCAGTTAGCGCTCTCTCTCTGTCTCTGTCTCTGTCTCTCTCTGTCTCTGTCTCTGTCTCTGTCTCTCTCTGTCTCTGTCTCTGTCTCTGTCTCTCTCTCTCCCTGTCTCTGTATCTCTCTCTCTGTCTCTCTCTCTCTCTCTCTCTCTCTCTCTCTCTCTCTCTCTCTCTCTCTCTCTCTCTGTCTCTCTGCCTTGTGCCTGTGAATCAATACACAAGCTCTCAGCTACTGCCTGCCAGCTGCCATGGTCCCCGCTGCCCGCTGTGATAGTAACAGACTCTAATCCTCTGGAACTGTGAGCCCAGTAAACTCTTTCTTGTATAACGAATTGGCAATGCCGTCTCTTCACGGCAGTAGAAAAGTAACGTAAGACGATGTGAAGAAAGAGAGTCATTCTTACTCATAGCTCTGAGGGCTCAGGTCATGGTCTCGTGGTATCACTTTCTTTACCTTTTGGGGAGTGAGGTGAGCCCTAACTATGTAGCCCTAACTGTCTCAGAACTTGTTTTGTAGACCAGGCTGGCCTCGAACTCACAGAGATCCAGCTGCCTCTGCCTCCTGAGTGCTGGGATTAAAGGCGTGCGCCACCAACGCCCGACTTATTTCTTCATTTGTTTATGAATTGGTTTACAAACATTTGAACTTGAATTCTTTATCTTGGGGCTTGGTAGGATGGTAGCCATTGAGAATACCATCATGAATAAGAATGGTCTTTAGGCTGGGCGTTGGTGGCGCATGCCTTTAATCCCAGCACTTGGGAGGCAGAGGCAGGCAGATCTCTAAGTTCGAGGCCAGCCTGGTCTACAGATCGAGTTCCAGGACAGCCTCCAAAACAATACAGAGAAACTCTGTCTCGAAAAACAAAACAAATCCCAGCACTCGGGAGGCAGAGGCAGGCGGATCTCTGTGAGTTCGAGACCAGCCTGGACTACCAAGTGAGTTCCAGGACAGCCTCCAAAGTCACAGAGAAACCCTATCTCGAAAAACCAAAATAAATAAATAAATAAATAAACAAATAAACAAATGAAGAAATAAAAAAGTCTCTATATAGGCATGCTAAACGACACCCCTTATACAATACAAATTCTAAAATCCTACCTTCTGGAGAAAAAAGCTTTGGAAGGACATTCCAAGACCTGCTTTGGGATGTAACCAGTACACCCTTCTTTATTGTAACTTTGCTTTCCTCCCTATTTCTTCTCCACACAGGGCCATAGCCTCAAAGATGCCCAGGAAATTCTGTTTATAAATGGACCAAATTCGTTAACCCCTCCTCCATCGATTCCAAATTGGGTCAAATTCTGTAAACAAATGTTTGGTGGCTTCTCCCTCCTGCTATGGACTGGTGCCTTTCTCTGCTTCCTGGCCTACAGCATAAATCTACGGTACAACGAAAAAGCCGACAAAGACAATGTGAGCTTGCTCATCTTGTGCACCGGGTCTAGCCTGGGCTAAGACCCAGAAACTCTCGTGTTCAGCAGACTGGAACTCCCGAAGTCTTCTGGTCTAAATCCCCAATAGTTTAGAACTTTCTAGGGAGGTTTTTGGTCCATCTTGATCCCCTGCAGCCTCTCATCTAGAAGGTTTCTGGCCCTTGGCTCCCTAACAGGCGTTATTCCATCAGTCTTTGCAGCCCTTTGTCTTACTCAGAACATCACCTTCTTCATCTCCCACCCTCCCTGGCTCATTACCCACCGCCCCACACACTGTCTGCTGGGGTTTCTGACCACTCAACACAATAGTTTAAGTTTCCATTACTAGGAAGCTCTGTGTGCCAGCACTGACCCTGGTTCCTCCCAGCCCCTCTGCCCTGCAACTCAGTCCTATGACTTCCTCCATCCAGAGGAAGTTGTTACCTTGGCAATTCTTGAGGACGAAGAGGGATAATGTGCTAATGACACTTCCTTCCCTATCCAGCTGTACCTGGGTATTGTACTATCTGCTGTGGTCCTCATTACTGGCTGCTTCTCGTATTACCAGGAGTCCAAGAGCTCCAAGATCATGGAATCTTTTAAGAACATGGTGCCTCAGGTAGGTAGGGCTTGTGTGGGAGGATCTAATGAGAAGTGCAGATGGTGGCCAATTATATAATAGCTCAGTCCCCTGGAGACTGTGGCCCACTGTGGGTGCACCCAGTGAGGCTGGTGATGAGGGCCGGAAATTACCAGGAGAAATTGTAAAACTCAGGTGATGCCACAAAAGAATGTTCTAGCTTAATGGAAACTAAAAAGATGTGGGGGTATGAATATCCCGGTAAAGATACAGGTCCTGGGCCTGATTCTGTGCTGGCAGACAATGCCTCAAAAGACATCTTGGGTCAGGTGATGAAAGCTGGAGTGTAGAAAATAAATCTGATTATTCTATCAGTGTGAAACCTGCTGAAACTAACCACTGTACTGCTGTATAAGAGAATGGTATGGGGGCCAAGAGTATTGTATCAGTGTGAAACCTGCTGAAACTAACCACTGCACTGCTGTATAAGAGAATGGTATGGGGGCCAAGAGTATTGTATCAGTGTGAACCTGCTGAAACTAACCACTGCACTGTTGATAAAGGGAATGGTATGGGGGCCAAGAGTATTGTATCAGTGTGAACCTGCTGAAACTAACCACTGCACTGCTGTATAAGAGAATGGTATGGGGGCCAAGAGTATTGTATCAGTGTGAACCTGCTGAAACTAACCACTGCACTGTTGATAAAGGGAATGGTATGGGGGCCAAGAGTATTGTATCAGTGTGAACCTGCTGAAACTAACCACTGCACTGCTGTATAAGAGATGGTATGGGGGCCAAGAGGTAGCTCAGCAGTTAGCAGCACTTGTTGCTTGCATTGGCTCATTTTATGTAAACCTGACACACAAGCTAGAATCATTTGGAAAGAGGGAACTCAGCTGAGAAAATGTCCCCACCAGATTGGCCTGTGGGCTAGCCTGTGGTACATTTCCTTGACTGTTTGATGTGGGAGGGCCCAGCTCACTGTGGATAGTGCCATCCCTGGGCTGGTGGTCCTGGGTTCTACAAGAAAGCGGGCTGAACAAGCCATTGTGAACAAGCCAGTAAGCAGCTCTCCTCCACGGGCTATGCATCGGTTCCTGCTTCCAGAATCTTCCTTGAGTTCCTGAGTTCCTTGGAAAAATGGACCGTGATGTGGAAAGTGTCAGTGGCATAAATCCTTGTCTCCCCACATTGCTTTTGATAGTGGTGTTTATCACAACAATAGAAACTTAAGACTCTGCTCTTCCAGAGGACCTGGGTTCAGTTCCCATACCCTAATGGTGGCTTATGTTTTTGAACTCCAGTTTCAAAGGACTTTCACCTTCCTATTCTTCTGGCTTCACAGGCACCAGACATGAACACAGTGCATATACATATATGTGCATAAAATAAAATAAATCTTTTTAAGAGAGAGAAGATAACATAATTCTTAGAAAATAAACACAGAAGTGTGTACAATAAGTTGTCAAGATGCATGTAACTTAGAGACAGAAAAGGACAAAACAAGTGAGATTAAAAGTGATTGGGTGGAGATAGGTAAAAGTTTTATAGGTGTGCTTGTCATTATTTCTTTACTGAAACTTTTCTGAAATTTAAAAATTATCTTCAAGTTAAATTTTTGTATAGGCATCTGGAAATAGCATGACAGCAGATTGGAGTCTCTAAATACAGGTCTAGATGCTTAGAGAGTCTCCAAAGTCATGCAACAATATTACCATATTCTAGCCTTGGAGCCTAAGATTGTCTTCTCCCTTTAATGTCAACATAATTTAAACTTTTCCTCCAATGAGAGTTTTGACTGGAAACTTAGAGTTTATCAGGCAACACTGGTTGCCTAATATGCTACCTCAAACACGGCTTTTGTCACAGTTCTGTGTTGGGGCTACTGCTCTGGTTTGAGCTGACTCTAGCTTGTGCTAGGTAGTAATATATGGATAACCTTATTCAACCTCAGTTGAAATGATTATGTTGGTTAGGGCTCTGGCTTGTTCATGGGAACAGAGGGGTTCCCAGGAACAGCAGAGCAAACCTTAACATGAAAGCTTTATTTGTTTATTTGTTTGATGTTTGTTTATTTTTAGTTTTTTAAGACAGGGCTTCTGGCCAGGCGGTGGTGGCGCACGCCTTTAATCCCAGCACTCGGGAGGCAGAGGCAGGCGGATCTCTGTGAGTTCGAGCCTGGGCTGGACCGACAGCCTCGAAAACAATACAGAGAAACCCTGTCTTGTAAAAACCAAAAAAAAAAAAAAAAAAAAAAAAAAAGACAGGGCTTCTCTGTAGCTTTGGAGCCTGTCATAGTGCTCACTCTGTAAACCAAGGCTGGTCTCAAACTCATAGAGATCCTCCTGCCTCTGCCTCCCGAGTACTGGGATTCACGTGCCCTGCTCGTGAAAGAATTATTTTGTTTATTTATTTATTTATTTATTTGGTTTTTACGAGACAGGGTTTCTCTGTATTGTTTTGGAGGCTGTCGGTCCAGCCCAGAGAAAGAATTTTTTAAGCCTTTCTTTGTACCACATTTGCTAATATCTTATGTTAGGGGTGGGAGGATTACATGGCCAATTCTACATTTAGGAACAAAGAGATAGATCCCACCTCTTAATGGAAAGGCCACCAAAGTCATATTGCAAAAGTTGTGCAGACAGCAATGGTAGAAATATGCAATCTGCCAAGCCCCCTTCAAATACAGTGGATAACAAAGAAAGGAAATAGAAATGGAACCTTCTAGAGTTGGAGCAGGATAAGCAAGGTAGGAAGGTGTGTAACAGTCCTACATTATCTTCCTGCAGCAAGCCCTGGTAATTCGAGACGGAGAGAGGATGCAAATCAATGTAAAAGATGTGGTTTTGGGAGACCTAGTAGAAGTGAAGGGTGGAGACCAAGTCCCTGCTGATATCAGGGTTATCTCCGCACAAGGATGTAAGGTAAGGAGATGTGGAATGCAATAGGAGGGAGCCTAAGGCAATGTGTGGTTCTAAGGTCTGATAAGGACCTGGGCTTAGGTCCAGAAAATATGATCTTGTTATTCAGAACCTGAGGTGGTGATGAGAATGGTTTGTAAGGGAGACAATAAGGTACTGGGGGCACATTTGCATATCTCTGTATATTAATGACATGGTAGTCATTTGCATATCTCTGTATATTAATGATATGATAGTTATGACGGATAAGGTGCCATTGTCCTCAGAAATGAATCTCTCCTGTGCTTGCCTTTTAACCTAGCCTCCTTCCCACCCAGGTGGACAATTCCTCCTTGACTGGGGAATCAGAACCCCAGTCTCGCTGTCCTGATTGCACCCATGAGAACCCTCTGGAGACCCGGAACATCATCTTCTTCTCCACCAACTGTGTAGAAGGTGAATTGTGTACCTTACGCATCACAGGCTCAAAAAGCAGGGGTGGAAACATGGCTTTTAAAACCTTCTGTTTCTAAAGATTTTGGGGTAGGAAGACGGTTACCAAACTGGCTTCTTCATCACTCAGGAGCTTGATAACCTGTCCAAAGGTCAACACCACCATTTCCAATTTGCCTACGGGTATTACTAAAAATCGTTACTCACAGATTGCTTATGGACTACCGGACATAAAATACAAAATGCTTAGCGCAAGGTCTAATACACTGTAAGTGTGCTATAGCCGTTGACAATTGTTTTAGCTGATGGAGAGACTGATTTATGTCTTGAAAATAGAACAAAATGGAGGAAAGTTGCCCATCCTGCTAGGTCATTCTCCTAACTAATTTTTACCCTCCAGAAGTTTGAGTTACCAGACTTGTCCCTCCAGCTTCACCATTCAAACGTTGGTTCTGACCAATGTAGTAAAAAAGAGCTTGACATCATTATGTCACTCTCCATTGCCTTTTTTCCCCTTAAGAAACCTAAAATATACCCTAGAACCCACTTGCAAACCATTACTAATGCTTGAGAATAAATGTTTTGTTGCCTAGAAGTAGTTGCTTTTTGCTGAATTCATAAATGCATATAGCTACAGTGTCAACTACTATAAGCATCTTTTCTGATTCTCACAGTATCACACATGAAAGTCTAAAGTCCAAAGAAATTACATGCTCACCACGTTTGAGATCATGACTCAACAGAAAAGAGGAAGATCAGTGATTCTAATGCAAGTCTGTCTCCAAAAGGCCGTGTCTCTCCCCCACTTCTCCACTCTGCTCAGTACTGAGTGGCTAATAATCTCTCCTCATCAAATCATTTAACTTGAAAATACCTTAATAATACCTTAATAATAACTATGACGCTCGTGGACATTAAGGAAGAATCCAACCAGAAAAAATTGTATCACATGATTTGTACACAATACATAAAATATATAATTAGTTGAATGGACAGAAAAAATGTAAATTAACAAGATTTCTCTAAAATACTGGATTTCTGCTGCTACATTTTAGGCAGAAATTTGCTCAGATTTATCTTTCTGCAGTAAGCTTTTTTATCCGCTAAGTATATGCTGCAGACAGGAGGGCTGGGGAAGATGGGTGATGAAACCCCAGTTGAGAAACAGGCTCTATCTGAGTGGAAGGGATTTGATAGACAAACAGAACCCAAATGTAGCCAAGAGGGTAGAACTAGCTAGATTAAGCTAAAGAATTTTGGTTTTTGAAACATGTCAGGCCTCACCATGTAGCTCTGCCTGTCCTAGAATTCAGTAGACCAGGCTGGCCTTGAACTCATGGAGATCCTCATACCTCAGCCTCCTGGGTGCTGAGGTTAAAGAGGTGTGCTCCCATGTCCACCAAACTAAGGAGTTTTTATACAACTTGCTCAGTAATTTTCGTTAGACCAGTTTCCCCCTTTAACCTTTGCCCTAGACCAATTTAAAAATTAGTTACATAGCGGGGCGGTGGTGGAGCGCGCCTTTAATCCCAGCACTCAGGAGGCAGAGGCAGGCGGATCTCTGTGAGTTCAAGGCCGGGCTGGACGGACAGCCTCCAAAACAATACAGAGAAACCCTGTCTCGTAAAACCAAAAAAAAAAAAAAATTAGTTACATAAATACAGCTTTAGCCTTGCCTCCCAGCTGTCCTTGCTGTGGACCTTGATGGGTGATGTCACATCTCTGTGTTCCCATGCTTCTGGGGAGCCTGAGCTCTTCCTGTGATGATACTTGAAGGTATATGAGGGAACAGCCTGGCCCAGGATACGGTATACCTGCCCTTATCAGTCTTCTAGCTTGATGCTAACATACCCCATCTCTAGATACATATGGACCATTTACTGTATTTCATCTTTTCAAGCTAAATAAAGCATCCCATAAAATAGATTCAGATGACATTAGAGCCAACCACACCCACCCTATCAACAATATGGAATCTGTTCAGTATTTTCATGTTTAGTATTTTCCTGAGGGTTCAGAGCACCCTGTCAACAGTTCAAAACTTGTCTTTAGGGTGCTTTACAGTGTGACCTTTACCACAATACTGGCCTGATCCAGCTGGGAACTCTACTCCTAGACTCTTTTTTTAAAAATATATTTTTAAATTTTCTGTATGAAAGTGTGTGCCTAAGTCCATGTATGAGTTCCCAGTGTGTTCAGGAGCCCAAGGAGGTCAGAGGAAGTGAATTTGAACTGCAGTTATAGATGGTTGTGAGCCATCGTGTAGGCCGGAGAAACAAGTCCAAGTTATCTGCAAGAGCAGTAAATCCTCTTACCCAATGAGCCATCTCTCCAGCCCCATGCTCCTGGACTGTTGCTGAAGGCGATTCTAGTACTGGAGACCCCCAGCTGCTCCCTGCCCCTGTGTGGGGGACCTGCTCCTCCTGGGCCACACATATGGTTTTATACCGGTTCTTCAGGAAATCTTTTTTTTTAAATGCTTTACATAAAACAGTAGCTTTTTAAATATTTATTTATTTATTATGTATACAGTGTTCTGCCTACATGTATGCCTGCTGGCCAGAAGAAGGCACCAGGTCTCATTACAGATGGTTGTGAGTCACCATGTGGTTGCTGGGAATTGAACTCAGGACCTTTGGTCGAGCAGTCAGTACTCTTAACCTCTGAGCCATCTCTCCAGCTCCTTCAGGAAATCTTTTAGTCATCCAAAATTCGAGAATAAAGTTGAGTGCCTAGCCCACCACATACCCAAACTTGTTCTAGGCTCTTTTGGACATATTTAATTTCACAGCTTTGTAGGTACATTGTTTCTTCTTCTTCTTCTTCTTCTTCTTCTTCTTCTTCTTCTTCTTCTTCTTCTTCTTCTTCTTCTTCTTCTTCTTCTTCTTCTTCTTCTTCTTCTCTCCTTCTTCTTCTTCCTCTCCTTCCTCTTTTCCTCTTCTTCCTTCTCCTCTCTTCTTCCTTCTTTTTCTCCTCCTCCTGCTTCTTTAGACTAAGTCTCGCACCATAGCCCACGCTGGCCTTGAACTCAGGGCAATCCTCTAGCCTCAGCTTTTCAAATGCTGCATTTCTAGCAACATCTGAGATGTGCTTCATCCCATTTTAAGAATGAGGAAACATGACTTTCTGAGAGCATAGCACTTTGTCTCAGGGAACAGAGCTAGTTGTTTAGAAAGTTGGCCCTTCTGCCTTTTGTACGAATTTCCTTCCTTGGTAATTCTGGAGTTGAATGGTGGGAGCGACAGGTATGGTGGGAAGGCAGGAAGTGTGGTTTTAGATAACCTTGTTTCAAGATCATAGGTGAATGTCCTGTACCATGTGTAGGTAAAGTCAACCTTCTAGGTAGAGAGCAGAGCTGGAAAAGCCCTGGGCACAGCTGTTATGGCCTGAGCTACCCAGCAGAGGTCAGACTAGCTCTAGCCAGAAAAGCAGGGAGGGGGCTCCTCAGGCAGTTTCTTCACTTCTAACATTGAGGACTCCTTGTGAGTGGAGAAGGGCCTGAACTGTGCACTGTAGGATATTTAACAGACTTTGGTTTCCACCCTTACTTTTTCTGTCTGCACAGAAGCCGGTGTCCTACTGTGGGGACCCCCTATCAGTTCCCCAAAATGCAGTCCAATTTTGACACTGCCTCAAAATAGCATCAGATGAGGACCTAATCCCAAGGGACTCTTCTACTTCAGACTCTAATCCAAGTAATAGGTTGTCATCCATACTTATGACAGATTGACTGTGACTGGGATTCCTATGATTTCTTCCTTGAGGCTCTCGGAACTCAGGGATGCACTTGGCCTACATTTCCCATCTATTACAGTTGATAGGCTACAAGTGAACACCTAGATGGGAGACAAGCATGGGGAATGGTATGTGGGCTTCTGTATCTTCTCTGGATGGAGCTTTTGCATCCTCTCTGAGGATGCCAACCTCCAGACACCTCCATGTGGTGCCAGCCTGGAGCTCTCCAAATCCAGTTGTCTTGGTTTTTTGTTTTGTTTTGTTTTTAGACAGGATTTCTTTCTCTGTAGCTTTGGAGAATGTCCTGGAACTTGCTCTGTAGACCAGGCTGGCCTCAAACTCACAGAGATCCACCTGCCTCTGCCTCCTGAGTGCTGGGATTAAAGGTGCGTACCACCACTGCCCAGCCTTGTGTTGACTTTTCGATCGGTGTTTTATTAGGTAGTCATGACTAATTATATCATTTGCCATTGGTAATCAACTCAACCTTCAGCCTCACCTTTCTTAGAAGTTGGGCTGAAGATTTGAAAGTCAACCATGTAACCACTTGGTTGGTTCCCCTGGCAACTCCCTCTTCCTGTGGCTAATCAACAGTTGCCTCATTAAAACAAAAGGTTCTCTTGCCACCTAGGGAATTCTATGGCATTTAGACACTCTATGCCAGGTATCCCTATCACTCCAGAAATTATGAAGTGCTAAGAACCAACTATAACAACAAAAGGTTCTCCTAGCAATCCAGTCTGTGGATTTTAGAAGTTCTATGTCAATGACTTGGGGGAAGATACCAAGACAGGCATTTCTTACTTTACCACAGTATGGTATCACAGCTTCTTCCTTTATTCACAGGAACAGCCCGGGGTATCGTGATTAGTACCGGAGACAACACAGTAATGGGCCGAATCGCTTCACTAACATCTGGCTTGACAATGGGCCAGACCCCCATTGCAGTTGAAATTGAACACTTCATCCATCTGATCACAGCTGTCGCTGTCTTCCTTGGTGTCACTTTTTTTTTCCTCTCACTTATCTTGGGCTATGGCTGGCTGGATGCTGTCATTTTCCTTATTGGCATCATTGTGGCCAATGTCCCTGAAGGGCTGCTGGCCACTGTCACTGTGAGTAAACAAGGCGATGGTGGGTGGCCTCTGGGCAGACAGATAACCCCAGGGGAATGAAATCACGAGTGTGGATTTTGTTGTTGTTGAACATTTGAAGTGTGAGCCATTAGTTCCCAACATTACACTGACTTCTTTTACCCATACCTCCTCCTCCTCAGTGAAAGGGGAAGCAAGATGCAACACAGAAAAGGTGCATTCTGGTCTCAGGTGAACTGGCTGTTAAACCTGGCCAAATCACTTAAGATCTTCAGGCCTCAAGTATTCATTAGTTTTTAGAGAAAGACTGATTTGGAATTACAGAATCCTACTGGAAAGGACTTCAAGGCCATTTAAAGTCAACCTTTGAGCCAACACTGAGGGTTCTCTATAAAAACCCATGAAGGAAAACTGGGTTTTTTTTTTCTGAGAATGGAGAACATAGCTCCTCTCTGTATCAGCCTATTTTGCTCTTTGACCACTTAGTTATATTTCCCTGTATTGAACAGAAATATGATTCCCTATTTCATCCTACTTTTCCCAACTGAAATACGTTGATTCTCTGTCTCCTATGTCCACCCCATTCCCTTTGATGTAGTCATCATGTCCCCTCAGATTCTCCAGGTAATCTTTTCCTTAACCATTCTTCCTATGGCAGGGTCTTAGTTCTTTGTCTTACCAACAGCTTACTTGAGGTATGCTCTAGTTTTTTCAGTATTCAATATATTTCAACATTAAAATAGAAATGAGAATAGCATTTAGGTTGTGTTTGGACTAGTTTTTAAACATTGGAACTAGTGATTGTAATTTCACAATTGAAATTCTATACTTACATGTTTCTCAAGGGCTTTTCAGTACTGTGAGATTTTTTGCCCAAAGTCATCATTCCCTCCTGCCCAAACTTTTCTGAAACTACTGGCAAAATGCCCGGTCCATACACAGCACTATATACCACAATAGAATATTACCTTTCTATATGGTCCTTGGAGAGACCGGATCTGAGAGAGAGAAAGTGGCCCAGGATGGAAAAGAGGCTCCTTACTAGAAAATCTAGCCACCTCCTGGGAGGAGCTTGTTCTCTATGACAGTGAAGGAAGACACCGGAACTCTTGCCGTAAAGCACACATCTAAATAATTTCCTCGGTGTTCTTTTTGATGGTCACAGGTGGGATGTCTAAAGACTGGGCTAGGATAAAAAGAAAATAAAACCAATCAAATTTCCAAAGCAAACCATTCTTTCCCCTTTTGGTGGCTTTAGGTGTGCCTGACGCTGACAGCCAAGCGCATGGCTCGGAAGAATTGCCTGGTGAAGAACCTGGAGGCGGTGGAGACCCTGGGCTCCACATCCACCATCTGCTCCGACAAGACAGGCACCCTCACCCAGAACCGCATGACAGTGGCCCACTTGTGGTTTGACAAGACTGTGTATGAGGCTGACACCAGTGAAGAACAAACTACCGGTGACGATGGCATTGGCCACCAAGAGTAGGAGGATTTGGGGTGGGATTGTTGGGAAAATGCTGACTCCAGACCAATGGGAGGGAGCTGGAATGTGGAATGGAGGAGGAGTATTTGAACACGAATAACCTCCTGCCTCCATGTTTGTTTAGCCTTCTACTAGTAAGTAGTTGGAGATGACCTTGAGCCCTCTAGTCCCTGACCTCTCCCTCCTAGTGTAACCCCTTGTATTCAATTCTGTTTGTTTACAGTTCTCCCCTTCTTCTTCCCCAGGGAAAACATTTCCCAAGTCCTCCGACACCTGGTTTTACCTGGCTCGAATTGCTGGCCTCTGTAACCGGGCTGACTTTAAGCCCCATCAGGAATCTGTTCCCGTAGCTAAGGTACCAAGTGGAAAGAGGGTGCCTCGCTGACTAGTGTATCACTGCTCCTCTTCCAGAAAAGTCTGCCTCCCCACCCTCAGTGATTTTGTACACACACCCTTCCCTCCCCATTGTGCCTCTCTCCTTAAGACCACAGATAAATCCTGTGCCCAGATGGTTTCCCCTGGGACTAATACAAATCCTTCCTTGCAGCGGGCAACAACAGGAGACGCTTCTGAGTCCGCCCTCCTCAAATTCATTGAACAATCTTACAACTCTGTGAATGAAATGAGAGAGAAAAACCCCAAGGTGGCCGAGATTCCCTTTAATTCTACCAACAAGTACCAGGTACAGAACTGACAAAGGTAGGAGAATGGGGGGGGGCATGGGCTCACCGATGGGGAAGCCATGGCCTTTGCCTCCAGCTGTACTTCTGAGCAGGACCATAGCTCAGGAAAGCCAGCGTACCAACTAGGAGGAAACTGCATCTCAAGGAAAGGGACAGTGAAGAGATGAGAAATAGGTGATAAGGGAATAGTTCCTAGCAGAATTCTTACCCATGCCACCTGCTTATCTTAAAGTGTTCCTCTGAGACAGAGGTAGTCAAGGCTGGCTTGTAGGAGTCACATCAGTCATGTACAACTGAGTCTATACCAGTGTCGCTATGCAGTTTGCCACTGTAGACAAAAGGCTGTGTCTGCAAGGTGTTCATCTCCCTAGCCATCAAATGCCCCTTTTCCTTCCATAGAGTTGTAGTGCAGCCATCAGTGAGGCAGTTAGGGGACACCAGTACGGGGGGTCACAGTTTTCATTTTCTAAAAGCGTTGATTTATGATCCAGGGAGGAAGCAGGTGGGAAAGGGAAGGTTTGAGGAATGGTCAGTGGTGCAAACAATGAAATCCAGAGAAGTTATGCATGGTAGTTCATGCCTATAATCTCTGCATTGAGTCGGGGGCTGAGGCAGAAGGATTACCCTGAGTTCCAGGTAAGCTTAACTTGTAGTTTGAGACCCTGTCTAAGAAAAGAAGAGGAAAAGTCAAAGTAACCCATGGGGGAAGCAAGAATCCAAGCCTCATTTGAAGAGCGGTTTTCAGGAGAGAGCAGAGACATGAGGGGCTTCTCCGAGGCTGGAGGCTGACCAGGCCTGTTTGCTCAGGCAAAGACCAGACATTTAAGTGTGCGAGCAGGGCTGTGATACAAGACTGGTAGTCAGTTTTGCCTTCTGTCTTCAGAGATAACAAAATTCCACAGTCCTTGTGTTTAAAAAAATACTCGGTTACTTGCAATTTGTGATGGAACACTAAGAGATAAGTAGATCCACACTTTCTGTCTACACTTGTCTTAGTCATAAAATAGATCTCCCAGGTCTGCAAATAAGCTGCAAACTTTATTCCCATTTCTTTTTTCTGACACTTGGTGGCCTCACTAACCAGACAGGAATTTTGTGGTGTGGCAGAGTGCAAGTAAAACCTTTGGATGAATTAGGTACCTCTCCCTTCATGTGGTTAAAAATAAAAGTCAAACATATTCATGACATTGTTGGAATGTCCAGCAAGTAACCGTGTTCCCCCAAATTACCACACGAGTGCTTCTGAGCTCCTGAGTGTCATTCAAGTGGCAGAAGTAGTCTCCGGGACACTCAGCTCCAGCAGGCCCAGCTCTGGCCGACTCTGAGTAAACTACTATAATTAGCCTGCTGCAAGGGCAGAGACACCAGTCTTTGAAAGGAATGTGTCTTACTTAGCCTGTCAGTCATTTGCAAAGCTTGATCTCTTACCATCTCTGAAATGGGAAAAATCATTTTTTGGACCAGTATGGTGGCGCACGCCTTTAATCCCAGCACTCACGAGGCAGAGGCAGGTGGATCTCTGTAAATTCGAGGCTAGCTGATATACGTAGTGAGACCCTGCCAAACAAACAAACAACACTTTTTTGTTTGCTTGTTTGTTTTGTTTTTGAGACAGGATTTCTCTGTGTAGTTTTGGAGCCTGTCCTGAAAGTCACTTTGTAGATCAGGCTGGCCTCAAACTCACAGAGATCTGCTTGTCTCTGACTCCCAAGTGCTGGGATTAAAAGCATGTGCCACCACACCCAATCAAAACACTTATTTTGTGTGTGTGTGTGTGTGTGTGTGTGTGTGTGTGTGTGTGTGTGTGTGTAATGGATTCCGTGTGGCCAGAGGCCACATCTTCCACTGTCAGCCCAGGGATCAAGTTCAGGTCTTCAGGGTTTGACCTTGAGCATCTTTGTTTGTTGAGTCATCTTGCAAGCCCCTATTTGTAATCTATCAAGGCTATGGCCAGGTTAGTAGGTAAGAAGCTTGTGTTCACCTGAGTCTTTGATTCAGTCAACCAAGATTCATTGAGCTTTGTTAATCTCACAGCTTTTGCCTTTAAACAAGGTTTGCTCTTTTAACCACCTAAGCATGTCATGAACACAGCTGACCATTCTCTAACAAATCAGTTGTAGCCACGTTTTATGCAGCAGTGCTCACCCCACCCGACATCCGGGAAGTGCCAGCTGGCCTCCATGGTGTTCGCACAGTTCTTTCAGTTTGCTGGTTTTGGCCTTCAAAGGCAGATCCTATAAGTCAAAAGAGGAACTCTACGGGTGCCTTCTCATAGATCAGAGATCCAAGTGAAAGGCTAAACCCATGCCACCAGACTGCTTTCTCTGCTTGTGTGGTCTCTGCAGATCCGTGTCATATATACCTTACCCTCCGTCATCAGGCATCCAACCAGTACGCAGTCTTCCTCGATGGCATCTCCTGCCTGTAGAAGAATGGTTACAGGGCTAAATTATTTAGTTTGTGTTTCAATTTCAAAATTTGGGTTTGTTGTTGTTGTTGTTTGCTTGCTTGCTTTTGTTTTACAACTAGCTTTCCTTAAAAACAAACAATAAAGGGGACTGGAGAGATGGCTCAGTGGTTAAGAGCACTGGCTGCTCTTCCAGAGGACCAGGGTTCATCCCAGCACCCACATGGCAGCTCACAACTGTCTGTAATCCAGCTCCAAGTGAGGTGACACCCTCACACAGACACAACATGCAGGTAAAACACCAATGCACTTAAAATAAAAAGAAATCATTAAAAAAAACCAAGTAGTCAAGGCAAGGCATTTTTACCCTCTCAGGAAGGAACTAAGGTTTTGCAGGCTTGACTGCCTTAGCTGAGTTCACAGAGTAGATAAAACAGGATTCTGGCTCTAGAACACACTGGTCTTCGAGCTCACTTGAGCCATTCAATCCGCAAAGAATCAGGAAGAAAGGAGAGTACCAGCTATGCTCTCGGAGAACTTCTGGAAGATACTAGATTCTGCTGCAGATGATGGGGCTGGGCTCTGCTTGAGTCTGGGTTGGACTGATTGAGGTGGGCATGAAGCAGGTTGCCAGATTACTTAATCTTAAAAAACTTCCCTACTGATTTTTTTGCCTCATGCCTCTCCTCCCACTCTGGCTCTTTCACTACATCCCCTCTCCCTAGATGTCCATCCATCTTCTGGAAGATAACCCCCAAGCCCATATGCTCATGATGAAGGGTGCTCCAGAGAAGATCTTGGATTTTTGCACCAGTTTCATGCTGAATGGGCAGGAGTTTCCTATGGATGAGGAAATGAAAGTAGACTTCCAAAATGCCTACTTAGAACTAGGAGGCATGGGAGAGCGAGTGCTGGGTGAGGAGCTGGGGAAGGGGGCGTGACTTTGAAAGAATGCCAACAAGATGACCATTTGTGGGGGGTGTGGCGGGCAGCAGACATACTATGGGGTGACTTCTGGGCCCTTCTTCTCTCCCCAGGTTTCTGCTACTTGAACTTGCCTAGCAACTTCTCGAAGGGATTCCAGTTTAATACAGATGAGTTAAACTTCCCCATGGAGAGCCTGTGTTTCGTTGGCCTCATATCAATGATAGACCCTCCTCGGACTGCTGTGCCCGACGCTGTGGGCAAGTGTCGAAATGCGGGCATTAAGGTAAATTCCCACCCTCCGTAAAAGTCCCTCATCTCTCACAAGTTGGAGCAGCCAGCAGAAAACTTGGCTCAGAGTAAGTGCCGAATAATCTTGGCTGAATTGATTTCTGCCTCCATGAGCTTATGGTGTCTACCCTTCGGAGATGTCAAATAGGAAGTGTCTTCCAGAAGCCTGCTTCCCTGATTTGAGAATCACCAGGGAAGTATGAAAACTCTAAGCTAAACCCCAAATCCCAGGCTGGCTCTCAGGCATCAATCAGTACTTCAAAAGTTTCTGGAAATTCTAATGGATGCACAAGTTTGAAAACACTGTGAAGCAGTGCTTCTTAGACCATTGTAAATATTCTCTCTCTCTCTCTCTCTCTCTCTCCCTTTCTCTCCCTCTCCTTCCCCCTCTCCCTCCCTCTCCTTCTCCCTCTCCCTCCCTCTCCTTCTCCCTCTCCCTCCCCCCTCTCTCTTCCTCCCCCTCTTCCTCCTCCTCTCTCTCCCTCCCTCTCCTTCTCCCTCTCCCTCTCCCTCACCCTCTCTCTTCCTCCCCCTCTTCCTCCCCCTCTCCCTCTCTGTCCTCTCCTCTCCTCTCTGTCCTCTCTCTCTTCCTCTCCCTCTCTCTCCCTCTCTTCCTCTCCCTCTCTTCTTCTCCCTCTGTCTCCTCTCTTCTCCTCCCTCTCTCTCCTCTCCTCTCCTCTCCTCTCTCCCCCTCTCTCCCTTTCCCCCCCTTCTTCTCCCTCTGTCTCCTCTCCTCTCCCCCTCTCTCCCCCTCTCTTTCTCCTCCTCCTGTCTCCTCATATCTTGATTGATAGCTCTAGGGCCCGTTGCACATTTGAACAAGCTCCTATACCATGCACTGCTGCGCTGCATCTGTAAGAGGAGCTGCTGTTGGGATGGGGGGTAACACGGGGTGCTAGGGTGCCTGGTGGCTGGAGCAGGCAATGAGCTACAGAGCTGGGGAGCTCTCTGTGCGTCTGACCTGCAGTGAGCAGCTGCAATGACAGATATAAACCTCGGATCCTCAAAGAAAAACTAGAAACCAATGATGAAACTCTACTACAGAGCAAATCCAGAGGTGGGAAGTCTTTGATGAGGTAGATCTTTGATTTCACAGGGAGGCAGTAATGGAATTTTTCCAATTCTGAGACTCTGTGTATTCATGTTTCTAGGTCAAAGATTCTTATCTTATTTTAAATATTGACTGAATGAGTGATTGTATGTGTATCTGTACATATGTGAGTGTGGGAACACACATGCCATGATGAACATGGGTAGTTCAGAGAAAAACCTACTTCTTTCTTTCCACCTTGGGGACTTTGACATTTGAACCCTGGCTGTCAGGCTTGTTCAGCAAGTGCTTGTACCCACTAAGCCATCCCACCAGCCCAAAACTCACACCTTACAGATCAGATGTGGCACTTGGTGCTCATACTTTCTGGATCACCTGCATCCTCTAGACTTGGCAAGAGCTGGCTAGAGCAGAGGATTGGAGGCGCTTTGGGGGAGTAGGTGCTTCCAGCTGGAGCTGCTCTTATATTAGACCTGTGACTGCCGGCAATTTGTCTAAGAGTCCTCCTGAACAGTGCTTAGCTAAACAATGGTTCACTGGAGTGGAAACTAAAGAAATGATGTGGGAGATTATGATGCACCAGCTTTTTAATCATCACCTTATAAAACCTGCGAGGCAGCAGGTTCTTTGTGGAGATGGCATTATTACAGAACATCGTCATAGAATAACTAATGCTGATGTTTCCCCAAAGTGCTGTAAGCATGCATCTGGATTTTCTGCGCTTTGAGGTAGACTATTAGAACGAGGAATAACATTATGAATGTAGTTGGCGATTTGTCTCACCTGGGGATTTGTGAATCTCCTTGGCAAGGGACCAAAGAAGCAGTGTGGGTCAGGGTGCCCAACAGATGAGAGTGTCAACACAGCCTGAAGAACAGCGGCTCGTTACAGTTGGCGAGGACTCACAGGGCTAGCCACGAGTCGGGAGGCCGCAGTGCTGTCTGAACAGCCCTTGTTTGGGGCCTGTTTACAAGTCTTGCTACAATTGTGTACCTCCTTCTGGACTCCAACCCGATGGGAAGTTAGCTGACTCAGTGAGTAATTATGAATCATTACCTCTCTGGGTAGAGAAGTATAAGACAGAAGGATGGTATCATCTTTCAAAATGTACAAAATGTAACAGACACGTAGGAGTTTGTTCTGAAGCGAACTCTTCCAGAGCCACCATCCCCCTCAGAGTGGTGGTGATGCAGGGCCGGAGACTGTCACAGCTACCGAATAAAAGAAGTCACATGATTGTTGCTTGACCTCCAAAGCCTTTTACAAGGAAATGATTGGAGGGCTAAGCAGGCAGCCGTATGCCCAGGACTTTGAAATAAATGTGATTTTTAAAAATTAAAAAATACTTCAATTATATTAACCACTAAGACTTCAGTAGAACGAAGATAAAAGCACATTATAACCCTGGCTCCCTCTACAAAGAAGTCAGGCTTTGAAAGCTGTCCCAGGGACATAGTTTCCTTATTAGCATTTGCAAGTTCCTTTCATATGGTCTGATCTGGGGGAAGATGGTAGAAGGGAACATACGTGTAACTGGTACAATGGTGTGAGAACATCACAGGTGTGTTGGAAATTAAGTTTTTCCAGAACTTGAATTCCAAAAGCAGTTGGATACCCTTTACTTCACCTTTACTTCAGAGGGAGCTATTCTCTGTGGAGCTGCTGCTCTTCTGTTAATTGAGTGTATCTCATACAGGAGTGTACGAGTGTTTAGTAAAATTGTGTCCAAGGAACTCACCCTTGAAATAGCGTTGCATTTTCATTTCTCTGACGTGGCAGGGAGGCAGCATGGCTGAAGTCACTAGACAACAGTCTGTGAAATGACCAAACGGGGTGAGGCACTGGGAATGCGTGAGGCTGACAGTGTGCTTAGAGCACAGTCGGGAGCCTTGAGAGGGAGCTCCCAGGTAGCCTCCTTCCTTCAGTCCTCATTCTGTAATTATGTGTTGATGGTCTGTTACGTGCAGGTCATTGTAGAGGGGCAAGGGCATATGCACGCACGCACGCACGCACGCACGTCTTCCTCACAAGCTCTCAGGCCAGTGAGGAAGAGATCACCACAGAGAGAAGCGCTAAGTAGCAGCACATGGAAATAACAGACTACTGTGAACACAGAGCACGGGAGCCTCGCCTTTGAGTAGGAATGGGGTGCAATGAGCTGCCAAGTAGAAAGTGTAGGACAAGGACAGGCAAGAGGGGGAGTAAGGCTCTCTGTGCTCTGGGTCTCGGTGAGGTTTCACTAGGCACCAGATTCTTCCAGACATTCCTTCATATTTGGTATGTGTTTCTGTGTTGTTGCTTAAAGTTTCAAACAGTTTCTGGAGCAAGTGAATGGAATTCTGAATTTTGCAGTATTTCCAAATCACTGACTTCTTCCTGGGCAATAAAGAACCTGAAGGATGGGTGCCACATCAGCTGACATCCCCGCCTCCCTCCAAGGACTGATGCCACAGCAGCACAGCTCTTGACCTGTATGAGCTGTAGGCAGCACAGCTCTTGACCTTGGAATTGAGCCACTAACTGGACTATTCCTTAGGGGGCAACAGATACGGGTCTTATCTAAAACTTTCTCCTTTTCCTTCCCAATCCAGGTAATCATGGTAACAGGGGATCATCCCATCACCGCCAAAGCTATTGCCAAAAGTGTGGGCATCATTTCAGAAGCCAACGAGACAGCAGAGGAAATGGCTGCTCGGCTAAATATCCCTGTCAGCCAACTCAATACCAAGTGAGGCCCCTAAAGAACTCAGATCTGACATTTGCCCTCCATCCTCAGCACATCCCATCAAAAACCATTTCCCAAAGTTCTGGAGTCTCCTTCAGCAAGTAGGATTGTAGGATATACACGTGACCAATAAAATATGACAGAGCAGTAACTTAAGTGATTAGGCCACTGAGTATTCAGAGGAGACAGGAAAAGAAACAAAACCAAAGGAGGGAGTGGTTGGCAAAGGGGGATGAGGCTGGGTCAATTTAAGAACAGTACATGCTGAGGGCAAGGAGACTGGGTGGGAAGGAAACCAGAATGTAGGGGTTTAGTAGAGAACTCTGAAACATGACGTGAGTCCTCAACACTCTTGACTAGCCTTCAGAAACTCCTTCCCTTAGGTCTATTAAAGCCATCGTAGTGCACGGCTCAGAGCTAAAGGACATGGACTCAAACCAGCTGGACCATATCCTCAAGACCTACAAGGAGATAGTGTTTGCTCGAACATCTCCTCAGCAGAAGCTCATCATCGTGGAGGGGTGTCAGAGACTGGTAAGGGAGACAAGTGCCCTGGGGAATCTGGCAGAGCCCAGCTGCAAACCCAGCAGGGAACAAGTGGCTGGGTAGAAGGGTACCGGAGAGAATCCCACCCTGCCTCAGTGATGGCCTTTGGTTTGGAAGCTCCCTGAAAGCTTAAGTAGCTCAGGGGAACAGAAAACAGGGATAAGCATAGGCAAGTCAAGCATGACTGCATTAAGAAATGAGATGCAACCACCAAGTGGTGGTGGGGAACACCTCTAATCCCAGCACTTGGAGGCAGAGGCAAGCAGATCTCTGTGAGTTCAAGGCCAGCCTGGTCTACAGAGTGAGTTACAGGACAGCCAGAGATATACAGAGAAACACTGTCTTGAAGAAAAAGAAAAAGAAAAAGATGCTGGAATCAAAATGATCTTTGGAACAGATTCTGAATCTAACACTCTTGTCTGGATTTTACCAGGGAGCCATTGTGGCAGTGACTGGTGACGGGGTGAATGACTCCCCCGCACTGAAGAAGGCTGACATCGGCATTGCCATGGGCATCACTGGTTCTGATGTCTCTAAGCAGGCAGCTGACATGATCCTTCTTGACGACAACTTTGCCTCCATTGTGACAGGCGTGGAGGAGGGTGAGGAGACGGTAGCTAATGGTGGGACTTGATCCCTGGAATGGAGCTTAATGTAGATTACCTTCATTGCCTTTGGTCACCATCCAACCTCCTAATCCTGTATGGAATGGGAAAAAATCACAAATCTTGAAAATTCCATTTAGCTTGGGCTGGGGGAATGCGGCTCTCTTGGTAGACTCCTTATTTAGAGTGCATATAGCCCTGGGTTGAAGTCCCAGCGCTGAGTAAAACACCTATTATCCCATCACTCTGAAGATAGAGGCAGGATGCTGGGCAGTGATGGCACACACCTTTAATCCAGCACTTGGGAGGCAGAGGCAGGCGGATCTCTGTGAGTTCAAGGCCAGTTTGGTCTATAGAGAGAGTTCTAGGACAGCCAGGACAGGACTGTTACACAGAGAAACCCTGTCTCAAAAGAAAGGAAGAAAGAAGGAAAGAAAAAAGGAAGAAAAAGATCGAGGTAGGAGGATCATGAGTTGAAGGTCATCTTTGGCTACAGAGCAATTGTGAGGCCTGCCTGTGTGACATGAGAGAACCTATCTTTAAAAAAAAAGATGTAGCTAATACTTGAGGATATTCTTTTTAAAGCTGAAGTTGGAAGGTTTTCCAGATTGACCAGGGAGACCTAGACTCTAGCATAGCACAATTCCTTTTTTTTATGGTCTCACTGGGATTCAAGTGTATCTACTGCAAGTTTTTAGAGGTAGCCATACCCTGGGAAACTCAATGCTTCAGTCTTCAGCAGGGACCCCTAGGAACTAGTTACCTGAATTATGGGGACAATCAGGGATGATCTGCAAATTAACAGAATGAACTTAATTACCTCTTTCCAGAAAATTCTAAAGAGAATGCCTGTTGAAACAGAAGGGCTACCTTCTACCATAGGGATACCTGCCAGACTCCTTCACTGCTGTCTGAAGCTATCTTACTGAAACACACCAATGCATTTTATTGAAAGCTAGTATGAATCTGACAGTTTGCTCCCTATTTTTTTTTTTTTTGGTTTTTCGAGACAGAGTTTCTCTGTATTGTTTTGGAGGCTGTCGGTCCAGCCCGGCCTCGAACTCACAGAGATCCGCCTGCCTCTGCCTCCCGAGTGCTGGGATTAAAGACGTGTGCCACCACTGCCCGGCATCCCTATTTTAATTCTATTTAATTCAATAAATTTTTCTGATCACCATTTGCAAGATACTATCCTGACACAGGAGACAAAAAACAGAAATTCCTGCCCACATACAATTTGCTTTGTAGTTGGGAGAGACAGACAAGGCAAATTCCATAGTATGATACAGCAATGGGAAAGAATAAAGCAGGGAGCTCAGGGAAGGATGACGACAGCCTTTGGAAGGGTAGCCAAGGCAAGACTCACAATCTTGCAAAACAGGAAAAGTGGCACTGAGAAACATAAGCGGAGAGCAAGGTCACAAGTTAAATAAGGCAGAAAATCAGATTCAAACCCAAGCCTATACCAAGCCTGAGTTCTTCCCACTCATTTGTAATCTTGCAAAGACTTTAATACTGGCATTCTCAGACACCTCCAGGATTAACTCTACCCAACTCTGCCTGATTTTCAGAGATCGGGTAACACTAGCCATGGTGACTCCAAGAACAAAGAGTACAAAGCCAGGCCATGGCTAATAAATCATAGATTTACTTGATAGTCACACAATTTACCGTCAAAGCATGGCCCTCTCACCCCACCAAGGTCTAGAGCTCCCAACATTTTCTTGGACCACTCCTTTCTAGCATTCTTTCTAACCAGGAGCTGGTTTATTGGAGGTGTGTCCTCTGGTTGCTTCTCACAGAAGTTTGGCCATCTTCTCCAGGTCGCCTCATCTTTGATAACCTGAAGAAGTCCATCGCATACACCCTGACCAGCAACATCCCTGAGATCACCCCCTTCCTGATGTTCATTATCCTAAGTATACCCTTGCCTCTGGGTACCATTACCATTCTCTGCATTGACCTGGGCACTGACATGGTAAGCACCAGTTCTCACTCTGGGAATTCCTAAGATAGGCCAAGTGTAGGGAAAAATCTGTCACATGAGGGGACAGGGCTAGAGTGTCTCTGTGTACCCGTCATTTCCACCCTACATCCTCCAGGTCCCTGCGATCTCCTTGGCTTACGAGTCACCTGAAAGTGACATCATGAAGAGGCTCCCACGAAACCCCAAAACTGACAATCTCGTGAACCACCGTCTCATTGGCATGGCCTATGGGCAGATTGGTGAGCCCAGAGAAATGGGAGGTGAAGGAAGGGAGAGGGCTGCCTTGACTGGCCTTTCAGACACCTCTGTTTAGCGGTCAGGGAGATGGTCTCTCAAACAACAAATTGTGCTTAGTCCTGGGACCACAAAGAACTGTTGATCTGCCCTTTAAAGAGCTGTGATAGCCGGGCGTTGGTGGCGCACGCCTTTAATCCCAGCACTCGGGAGGCAGAGGCAGGCGGATCTCTGTGAGCTCGAGACCAGCCTGGACTACCAAGCGAGTTCCAGGACAGCCTCCAAAGCCACAGAGAAACCCTGTCTCGGAAAAAAAAAAAAAGAGCTGTGATAAAGGGAAACCTACATAAAATGCATGCTGAGCGAGGAGAAAAGGCATAATGCTATGGGGACACAGAGCATGCTAGCTCATCATCTTTGAAGACAGAGCTTCTAGGGAGGAAACAACTTAAGACTGAAGATAGGGTTTTGAATAGTGAGTAGGTAGGCAAGGATGCTGAACCAGAAGAGAAAGGAAATTCACAGAGCATGGTTAGTGACTAGTCAATTGTTTTGGTGGTGTTTAGTCTTGATAAGGAAGTAGTGGAAAATAAGACTATAGACTATAGACATTAGTATTAACATTGGGACCAACCTCGAAAAACATGTAAGAACCTTAACCAGTTCAGTATGATGGAGTGTTTCAGAGAGTAAAGTAGTGATGGACAGGGAGGAGATTGGAGACAGAAGAAAGCATTTAGGGGTGGAAATAGGTCTAAACAACAGTGACTTAGGAGTCAGACCCATTGGAAACCTGATTTACTGCATCCTGCCTCTATGGCCCAGAGGATAACTGAGTCATGTGCTTGGATTTTTCCACTTAAGACAACAGTTGAGAACGGGAGGGAGCTATGTCCACAAGATGCACAATGCAAAGGTCTGTAACTCGTAGGCAAATGTTACTGTTATAGCTATTGCTGTTGTCAGCTGTCACTCTATAGAAAGAATGAATTGATACCAAAGTCCTTTTTAGTTTTAAAATTATCTGATTCAAAGATTGGAGAGATGGGTCCCTGGTCAAGAGCACATCCTGTATTGCAGAAGACCCAAGTTCAGTTTTCAACTTCCATTACCTGTATCTCCAGTTATAAGGGATCTGAAGCCTTCTTCTGGCCTCTGTAAGCACCATGAAAATCCTTGCCCCTGACAGGAATATTAAAACTATATGTGATTCAAGGATGATCCTAGCTGGACCAAAACAAGACCAAAACCCAGCAGGGTAAACACCAAATCCTACAGCTCTGTGTTTGGTGTCAGAGGGGGATTAAGGTGGCTCTGCTCTTCTGGCTTAGAGTTTAGAAACAAATGTCAGGGTTTGGAACCAAGTCTCTCACAGATGGCAAGATCAGATAGATCACTGATGACAAGAATCTTCATCACTGTGTAGACACACACTAACACAACTAGTAGCAAGGACCAGCCCACCACTTCTGTGATGTCTTTGGGGCCATCCTCTGAACAGACTCTCCGTCCCTATGGCTGTCACTTACAGGGATGATACAGGCGCTGGCTGGATTTTTCACCTATTTTGTGATCCTGGCTGAGAATGGTTTTAAGCCTTTGGATCTGCTGGGTATCCGTCTATATTGGGATGATGCACGCCTAAATGACCTAGAAGATAGCTACGGGCAGCAGTGGGTAAGTAGAAAGGGCAGAGTCTGCATAGTAACTAATTAGGAAGTCACTCAAGTGTGGCAGTGTGATCCCAGACCTTGGGAAGCTGAGGTAGGAGGATTACCACAAACTGAAGGCCAGCCTAGGAACATAGTAAGGTCAAAGTTAGCCTAGGCTATAATCTATTAATTCTTTGTCTCAAAAACTGTGTGCTCAAATCTTAGTTGTTGAAAAGATGCCTCTTACACACTGTGGCTTCTGCCCTTTGAGCTCCATGAGGTCATCAAAAGTCCATGTACTGATGATCCAGTAGCCAGTGATACCCAAATTTCTTACTGTTCAGCATACCAACGTCTCCCCAACCCTCAACTCAAGCTGTTAGTTTTACATGACAAGAATTTCTCTTACACACTGAAGACCTGTGAAGGAAGCAAGTCACATAGCCAAAACAACAGCAGAGTGCTCACATCTCAAAGCAGGAGGCAAAGAGTGCACAGGGGGTGATAGGAAGCTTTTGAAACTTCAAAGCCCACCCCCAATAACAAGGGCACACCTTCTAATCCTTCCCAAAGAGTTCCATCAACTGAAGACCACGTATTCAAACATATGAGCCTACATTATCATTTAAACCACCACATTCCACTTCCTGGGCCCCATAAGTTCCTGGTCATATAATAATGCAAAACGCTTTCAGTCCCCAGTAGTCTTTCACAGTCTCAACACTGTTTTAAAGTCCAGAATTTCTTCCGAGACTCAAGCAATCTGACTGTGTTGTTTTTGGTTTGGTTTTGTTTTTTGTTTTTTTTTACTTTTCAAGACAGGGTTTTTCTGTGGCTTTAGAGGCTGTCCTGGAACTGACTCTTGTGGACCAGGCTGGCCTTGAACTCACAAAGATCCAACTGCCTCTGCCTCCTGAGTGCTGGGATTAAAGGCGTGACACAATCTAACTGTAAACTCCCTTAAAATAAAAAAAGCAAATTACATTTCAACATACAATGGCACAGAATATACATTACTGTTCCAGAAGAAGGAATCAGTACACAGTGAGGAAATACTGAATCTAAGTAAGACTGAAACCCAACAGGGGAAACCCTAGATCCTGCAGTTCTGGGTCTGGTGTAAGAGGGCTTAGATGACCCCTCTTGTCCAGCATTGCTGCCTGCAACTTACTTCTCATTCTTGGACTGGTTCTACTCCCTGTCTGCAGCTCTGATTGCAGACATCTTATGGCTCTGGCATCTCCAACATCTTGCATTCTAGTACAATTCAGTCTTCACTTTCATAGCTTCATACCATGGCCTCTTGGGGCTTCATGGACTACCTTGTCACATGCCTGGCCTCAGTCTCATAACCACAGAAAAATGTTCCATAACCCCTTCTGTATCCTTCACGACTTTAAAGCCAGCATCATGTGGTTGACATCTTGGGGGTAAACCCTGTCCCCTTAGATCTCGTTTGCAGCACCTTTGGTTTGTTATTGCTTTTTAGGAGCAGAGAATTCCTTAGGCTGTTTCTTTTTTACAAAGTTGGGTGCTTACCTGATACTAACTTTACACATGGGGTGTTACCCTGAGGGCACCCTCCCTTTATCCCAACTCAGATCAGGTCTCTCCTTATTGCTTTCAGCACACTGAGGGTAACATTAAACTTCTTGATATGCTTTTTCTCCTCAAGCTGTACACTTTGTATTTCTTTTTTGCCACGCTTTTTTTTGTTGACATACATAATAGTGATTACTAATAACCATGTGATAGAGTCAATGCTAGGCTGTCTTGAAATCTCCTCTGCCAAAGAAATTAGTCTGCTACTTCCAAATATAGCCTTAGGTCATTTTTAGGATGAGGGCAGAAAACAGCCACATCTTTGCCAAAATATCACAAGAACCATTTCTAGTCTAGTGGCTAATATTCTTCCCCTCTCAAAACTTTTGAGCTAGGCCTCCACAGTCCACATAGATCTTGACTTACTGCTGTCTTCCAAACTCCTACTAGATTGGCCCATTAATCTCTGCTTAAAGCATTCAACCACTTTTCCAGACCAAAGTACCAAAATCTTCCATATTCCTCCAAGAAAACCACATGGGCAGGTCTACTACAGCAATACCCTACTCCTGGTACCAACTTATGTTTTAGTTACATTTCTTTTCTTTTTCTTTTTTACATTTATTTTATTTTATATATGTGTTGCTTATGTGACCCATGGAGGTCAGAAGAGGTCATTGGATCCCTTGAAACTGGATTAAGTGTGGTTGTGAACCATCATGTGGGTGCTGGGGACCAAACCTAGCTCCTCTGCAAGAGCAGCAACTGCTCTTAACCACTGAGCATCTCTTTAGCCCCTTAGTTACTTTTCTATTGCTATGATAAAACACTGTGACCAAGGAAAGTTATAGAAGAAAAAGTTTATTCTAGGCTTATAGTTCCAGAGGGTTAGAGTTCGTGATGGCAAAGCTGGAAGCTCTCCACCCAGAAAGCACACTACTTACAGTTGAAGGAATAGTTCATTACCCTCTAAAAAAAACTTTCATTAATCCCAACTATCACAGCCTATACCAGAAACTGGCCTAGACCCTGGGGATAGGATAGTAAACTAAAATGATCAAGTCATGAGTCTCTTTCTATGTAGACTAAGACGGCCTCTGACACATCTACCTGTCTCTTGCTTCTGCCTCCCATGTGCTAGGATTAAAGGTATGCACTACACCCAGCCTATAAACCATGATTCTTATAGAGCTAGGCTAGTTAGAGAAGGAGATGATGATGATGATGATGATAGTGGTGGTGGTGGTGTGTGTGTGTGCGCGCGTGTGTGTGTACATAAAATATATCAAGTTAAAAGATCCTTAAGTAAGTCCAAGGGAGACCAGGAAGTACTGAAATTGAAATACTAGAATAAGATGGAAGATAAAGATGCTTGAAATTTAAATTGCAGAAAAACCGTAGGTACTGAAAAGGATTTAGGATACTATCTAAAGCTTAACTGTAAGAGCAAGCTGCCCAGTAAAAGTGTGAAAGACAACAGAATTAAAGGGGATAAAAAAAAACTGGGAAGCCATGGTAATGGAATATTATTCATAAATATGAATATTTAAATCTCAAAAAAATGAGAACAAGAGCAGAAGCAGAGTAACAGTGACTCAGACGCTAAACTCTAAGCAATGGCAGGGATTGTCACAGACAGTGGTGAAGAGCTCACTGGCTGGTCTTGTCTATGTTTCATTTTTGACTCACCAATATTTTGTTTGTTTGGATTTTTTGTTTGTGTGTTTGAGGCAATGTTTCATTATGTAGACCAGCCTGCCTCTACCTCCCAAATGCTGTTATGTTTAATGTTTTAAGTTATGCACTACCATACACAGACAATTTTTACCTTTGTTTTCCAACCATCTAAGCCTTTTTATTTCTATCCAAGTACAACTTTAGGTACATTGCAAGTGGTTTTATATTTAGTATCTTAATAATTCCTTATTATCTATATTTAGAAACATGTTTTTTAAAAAAAAGCTGGGTGGTGGTGGCGCATGCCTTTAATCCCAGCACTCGGGAGGCAGAGGTAGGCAGATCTCTGTGAGTTCGAGACTAGCCTGGTCCACAAGAGCTAGTTCCAGGACAGCCTCCAAAGCCACAGAGAAAACCTGTCTCAGAAAAAAGAAAGAAAGAAAGAAAGAAAGGAAGGAAGGAAGGAAGGAAGGAAGGAAGAAAGAAAGAAAGAAAGAAAGAAAGAAAAAGAAAGAAAAAGAAAGAAAGAAAGAAAGAAAGAGAAAGAAAGAAAGGTGTGTTTTTGGGTTTTTCAAGCCAGAGTTTCTCTGTGGCTTTGGAGGCTGTCCTGGAACTAGCTCTTGTAGACTAGGCAGGTCTTGAACTCACAGAGATCCACTTGCCTCTGCCTCCCAAATGCTGCAATTAAAGGTGTGTGCCACCAATGCCCAGCAACATGTTGTGTTTTTAAACATACACTCTTTTCTCCAGTTTCCTCCCTAGTCTAATTTAAGTGCACCTCTTTGTGTTCCTATAGTGCCCTTAGCTTCTTTGTTAAAACTATTGCCAGGGGGTGATGGCGCACGCCTTTAATCCCAGCACTTGGGAGGCAGAGGCAGGTGGATCTCTGTGAGTTCGAGGCCCGGCTGGACCGACAGCCTCCAAAACAATACAGAGAAACCCTGTCTCGTAAAAACAAACAAAAAACAAAAAACAAAAAAACAAACAAAAAAACCAAAAAACTTAACTATTGTGTTGGCATTGTTAGTATTTTTATGCCTCCTACTAGATTCGAAGCCCCTCATGTACAAAATACAAATGAAAGAACCATGGAATGAATAAGCGAGTGCCTTCTTTATACCATCCTATGGGGGCTTGAGCAGCCTTCTGTCTATCACTCTTTTGGGAAATTCCTCCCTGCACTGTATTCATACTGTCCTCTGGATCTCCTTTGTCTTCTGACCTATGACCTCTGTTTTCTGCTGACCTAAGCCCACCTTCTTTTAATCATATTTCTAACCTAGTAAATTTAGTACTTACTGAGGCTTGCTACACAACATTCAGTAAGTAAAGTAAGATGAAGGGACACAAAAAACATTCAGTCATGTAGGGAAAATACACAAATATTAAATAAGAAAGCTATGTGCGCAGCGACAAGACAAGAAACTCTCCGGTATACCGGAACTCCTTTCTGACCCAGATGTCACTGTTTTGCTCGTCCTACCCCCAGACCTACGAGCAGCGGAAGGTGATGGAGTTCACATGCCAAACGTCCTTCTTCATCAGCATTGTGATTGTGCAGTGGGCTGACCTCATCATCTGCAAGACCCGCCGCAACTCACTCTTCAAACAGGGCATGAAGTGAGTGTCCACTGATAGCTACCCGCTCTCCCCACACCCAACCACGCCGCTCCCTTGCCTTTTCTTCCTTACTCTAATCTTCCTTCCCAGAAACAAAGTCCTATTATTTGGAATCTTTGAGGAGACAATGTTGGCAGCTATCCTGTCCTACACTCCGGGCATGGATGTGGCCCTGCGAATGTACCCACTCAAGTGAGTAAAGGGAGGGATGTCACCGCATTTGGGAGGAAGCAGAAGGAAATGTGTGTTTGACTGGGACAGTCACCATGTTGGGGACTGCCCAGACCACTGGAGCTACACTCGGAGATCTCAGAGATTCTCTCACACTCCAATCCGTGGCCTTTATTTAGAGTAGTATTAGAGACTATGTCAAGTACAAGCCATTGGACTTGCAAATTCAGCAGACTTAGCAGAGTTTAATTGAGTGGTCTTATATGACTGTATCTGATGGAGCTGAATGAAGATACACATTTCTTGGTCCTTATATACCCATGCAATAGTCTAAATTATGGGGAGGAGTGGAGTGGTGCTTGCCTGTAGTCCTAGGGAGCAGAATCAGGAACATCATAAATTCAAGGATAACCTTGGTTACATAGTAAGTTTGAGGCCAACCTGGGATAGAAACCCGGTCTCAAAACAAAGATCCAAATTTATGGTAAGCTTAACTAATTCTTTTGTTTTTATACAAGTCTGTTTTAATGTGAGAATGTTTTAATATATGAGATTATTAATATTAACAATTTGTTTTGATATATGAGAATGATCATACTGAAATTCTTACTGTCTAGATCCTTATTCAATTCTCAGGTTTTTACTATGTTTTGCTTTAACATTAATACATACTTATGAATTTTCAAGACAGGGTCTAGTGCTCATGTACCCAGACTGGCTTTGCTGTGCAGTAGAGAATGTCCTTGAACTCCTGATCATCCTTGCCTCAGTCTCCCAGTGTTGTGATTATAGGAACGTGCCACCATGCTTGGTTTTAGTTGGTGATCTTAAAATTTACAGAGAACCTGGGGATGTAGCTCAGTCTGGTGTGCTTGTCTAACATGTACAAGACCCTGATTCTATCCCCAGTACTGAAAAAAATCTAAAATTTACCAAGAAAAAAGCAGAAGGGCTTTTCCCCCATTGCCACCATGCCGCATGCACAGGCAGCCTATAAGGATAATTTAGTGCGTATTCTTCCAATTCATTTATGTTTTCACATGCTTTGCTCATCTATCCATCCACGGCAGTGGGGCTAGCCTTAGACATGGACAATCCTAAGTTTGAAACTCTGTATATTTTGTGACTTTGAAGAAATATGCAACAATTCTGAGCCTTAGCCATCAGTACACATATGGCAGGGTTCAGCATGTAGTTTAATGGCAGAGCACAGGTATAACATATGTGAGATCCTAGAATTGTGCTCCAGCACTGGGAAAAAAAAAACAATAGAACCCAGCAGAGCGTTGAGAATTACATGTAAAACTTGGTTCTAAGCACTGAGCATATTTGGCTCATGGAGGATGTTCTAATAGTAGCTTTGCTTTTGTTGCTGATGATGTCAATAACAAACGGAAGTGAACCCCATTGTACTCTGTACATACCTCCTCCACAGTGCTCAGCACCTAAAATTATTTTATGTGCCCATCCCTCTCTTTCTCGTATCTCTCTGAACTCCTTGAGATAAAAAGCCATCATGTAATCATGATACCTTACACAGATTCAGGGTATGCATATAAACGTTGTTCATTGAATGGAAAGGTGTTTGTATGTTAGTGTTTATATTTGTGTCATGTGTAGCAGATGAACCCTGACCTCAGTCCACACTGTCCAATATGTGACTGCTGAGCTCTTGAATATGACTAATGAGCATGAAAATACATCTTTGTAATTTTAACTTGCTTAAAGTTAAAAGCTAAAGCAACATTAGAACATGTATGTAAACACAATATAAGTGGCACTATAATCTACAGTCGAACCAGTGTAGGAAACTGAGGCTGTAAAGTCATGAATTTGGGGCTACCCTGGCAATACAAGACCCCATTTTTAAAAAAACCTTTTAAATGGGAGGAAAAGAAAAGATAATTTTTTCTTTTGGGTTATATTTCCTTTTAGTCACTAAAATTTCATACTCCAAACCCAGGCATGGGTGTATGACTGTGATTTTAGCACTTAAGAGATGAAGCCAGAAGGAACAGGAGTTCAGGGTCATACTTGGCTACACAGCAAGTTCAAGGCCAGCCTGGGTGGTGAGATCCTGTGAGAGGGGTGGAAGAGAATATCTAGTAGCTAAGTTAAGACAGGTGAGCAGTACATGACATCCACTAGATTTCCAAGATTAAAAGAAGGATGTAAACTCTCATTAGTAATGTTTGTACTGATTGGCATGTGGGCATATGCCTCCCTTGATGCAGGAGGATCTCAAGTTTGAAGGCAGCTTGAGTCATATAGAAAGACTGTATCTTAAAGCAAAACAGAACAAAAGGATGTTTATATTGATTACACACGCACTGAAATGGTATTTTGGGTATATTGAGTTAACTAAAATTATTAAAATTTCTTGTGTTTCACTTATCTTAATATGGGCATTAGAAAACTTTAAATTACACGCGTGGTTTGCATATCTGTTTCTCTGTGTGCATGTCTATGTGTGTATTTCTCTGTGTGTGTGCGTATGATGTGTGTTCCTATACGAGCGTAGGTGCACGTGCGCCCCAGTATACGTGAGGAGGTCAGAGGAGAACTGGTGTCAGTCTTTACCTCCCACCTTGTGAGAGATGAGTCTCTCACTGTTCACTGCTGCGAGCACCAGGCTAGCTGGTCTACCGGATTCTGCAGATTCTCCTGCCTCTCCCTCTCATCTCCCATTAGGGGACTGCAGAGGCTTGTGTTACTGCATCTGGGTTTTGCGAGAGTTGTAGAGATCCGAACACAGGTAACCAGGCTTGTGCAGCAAGCGCGTCATCCACTGAGCCACTATCTCCATTCGTCTCTTGACCCTTGCGTTATATTTCTGCTGAACAGTGCTGCTGATTGGTGTACAGTTCCCTGTCACTCGAGGGTATAAAACTCCTTGAGTCCATCTTCTTGGTCCCTAATTATAGAAGAAGCTCAAAGAGGGAAGAAGTGTCAATATGGGAGTGCATATAGACACACATAAATAAGTGCCTGTATTCCCTTCCATAGTTGGCAAGGCTTAAAGTATGCAGAAGAACAGTAGGGGAAGGAGGGACTCTCAGCAGTTCACTAAAGTCAGCTGACAATCTATAAATGCTGCACTTAACTCTGGACATGGCATTTGTCATATTGCCACTGGCATTTTAGATTTGTCTTGTGTCTTTCCTCTCCACCCCCCAATCGCTTAGCACTCAGGCTCTGACCTCCTCCCAAGGGACATCTACACCTCCTCATCTCCAGCACCCAGCTCAGTCTCCATAGTTCCCATGCGCCATTGCTGCTTACCTTCTCTAGCCCCTGTATCTTCAGCCTCACTGACCAACTCTTGTTCTCTGCAGGATAAACTGGTGGTTCTGTGCTATTCCCTACAGTGCTCTCATCTTCATCTATGATGAAGGCAGAAAACTCATCATCCGTAGACGGCCTGGTGGTAAGGCTGCCCTGGACAATGACACCAGCAAGTTTCCCCCAGCCCATCTGGCTTCTCCAGACTCAGGGGCTTATTCTATCTCACTGTCTGTCCTTCGCTCTTCCTGGACCCCTGTCTCCACTCCTGACTCCAAATGTCCCTCCCAATGCTCAGGCTTCCCACCTGCCCCCTTCTCTGCCCCTCTGCTGAGCTCCCCTGATGACCTCCTCGGTTCACTTTGTCTCTTCTCCACAGGATGGCTGGAGAAGGAAACATACTACTAGATGCAGCCGAGAAAGATCTTCACATGACATTGGTCTCACAAAAGCTGAGTCTGAGTGTGACACAGCATCTGAGATAAGGCTGAGCAGGGGCAGAGACACTGGATTGAATTTACTCTGGATGAGGGAGAAGTTTCCTGGGGCTGAAACAAGAGGATCTGGCAGGAGGCGGGGTGGGTTGGGGAAAGCCCAGTCTGCTCTGCCTGGAGCCCAGTGAGGAGGTGCACAATCTCGTTACATCCAGTAGCCAGTCTAGAGAGTAAACATTTGGAAGAGACCTCACCTAACCCGGGGTGTAGAAGTCTGATTTGAGGGGACTAGAGCTCCCTCCCAACACCGACATTGTAACTGGCCAAGGGAGACCTCCAGGGATCTGAGAGGAGGCTGAAAAAGGACAAGAATCTGTGGCTAGGTGTGGTGGCACATACCCTTAATACCAGCATTTGGAAGGTAGAAGCAGGTGGATCTCTGTGAATTTGAGGCCAACCTGACTGCGTGGTGAGTTCCAGACCACACAGGGCTACACAGTGAGATCCTGCCTTTAAACGCAGAAGATTAAGCATACTTGTCACTGAAGGGTATTTCCCATTTTAAGATCAATGTCTGATGTCCTGTCAGTGTAAGGGACAAGAGAACGCCCCCCAAAGTCTGGCTAGAACCAGCTGGTGAAAGGGAGACAAGAGAAGACCAGCTGAGCTACATCTCCCATATCTGTATTCGCATTTGGGGCTTGTGGGGCCAAATAATCTAGACTCTGACTTGGATTTTCTCAGGCCAGACTACAGGCCACAGTGTTGTTGTTCTAAGAGTCCTAATAACATCGGGTCCTACAAGGTTCAATGACTTGGGAATAGTTACATGGGGGGGGGAATCCTCTCCTCTAGGGCAGACTGGTGGTCCCTGCCTGTTAGCCCTGCCATCAGGACAGCCCCACCCCATCCCTTCCCTTAACCTTTGCTCTCCAGTATAACCTTGAAACAGGCTATAAGCTAGGCAAATACTGTGCTGTTGAGCTACCCCCGGGGGCCCCGAACCCAGATTTTTCTGGTCTGGTCTTAGTAAAAAGGTGCAAAGAGCTGGGCATTGGTGGTGCACACTTTTAATCCCAGCACTGGGGAGGCAGACGCAGGTGGATTTCTGTGAGTTCCGGACCAGCCTGGTCTACAGTGCGAGTTCTAGGACAGCCTCCAAAACAATACAGAGAAACCCTGTCTCCAAAACAAAACAAAACAAAAACAAAAAAAGGTGCAAGGAGCCTCTCTCCTACCCTCCCTCCTCCCTAGGTTCCTCCCGGCTTTGTCTCCCCTCAGGAACTTGTTTCTGCTCAGTGAACACCTCTGCTATGCTCTGTGACTCTCAGTTCATTCTCAGGTACCTTTTAGAGGTATCTGCCCCACAAGACACAGAGGGATGCTGAGGAAGACCGGGAGGAAACCAGCACTGTTACCAAAGTGCAGCGTAGGAACAACTGCCCACCTCCCAGCGTGGCGACAATGACCGAACCCACCATAGTTCTCAGCACCATTTTTCTACCACTCCACTCTGATTCGAAAGAGGAGAAAGTAGAGCTTCATTCCAGAACTTGTACCACTAAATGCTTTCCAAACTAGTCTTCAGTGGTAACTGGGACCAAACATGGTTACTAGCAAGGCAACTAAGTGGGATAATGGCAGAGGAGCATAGATCTGGAGGATGGGATTTTTTTTGCAAGCTGGCAGAAAACCAAACAAACAAAAAGACCCTCCCGTTGGAAGCTGTAGCAGCCCCTCTTTCTCTGTCTCAGGCCCCTTTCTCAGAGGTTACCTCCGCTCCTTTTCTCTTCCAACACAAGGTCTCCTGGGGACAGAGCTATATCAGTCTGGGGTCCACCCCGGCTGCTGACAGGGCTGAAACAGACCCTGGAAGATGAAAGCGGGAGAGGGGAGGGACATGAGATGGGGAGGGGGAGCGGAGGGACCAGCTCCTCAAGTTTCACTAGTGAGGAACTTTGAGTGTCTGGTGGGTTAAAAATACTGACGCCCCAACTCAGGGTCATTTGATACGGGTGGCTGGGGCGTGTTAAATCCAAAGGCCTGCACACAGGCAGCCTGGAAGGAAGGGCTCTGAGTGGACAGAATGGAGTACAGCGTCAGAGAGAGGCCTGGAGTAGTGATGGAGGACCTGATGGAAATGGAGGCCACCGGTGAGGAGTGGCAGCTGCATAGGAGGAGCTGAAGGGGCCAGGGTCATCTCGCGGTCCTGTCTCATCCCAAAGGTCCAGTCCATGATGGAAGAAGTCTAGTGCTCCATTGTCTGATCAGATATTTACCTCTCCCCAGAACCCTGCAGAAATGAGACGCCAAGGCTGCATCTACCCGGGAGCAGGCCTGCCCATCACCCCCGGGTGGCCTTTGCAGCCAGGGTCGTAAGCTCTGCCTGGCACATGAGGCAGTCCCCTGGGAGATCATGAGACAGGATTCTGAGATCTCCCCAGCTCCAGTGCCATGTACTGGCCTCTCCTGCTACGGGACAGCTGTCCCTCTTGTATCCTCTCCTCCAGCTCTTAAGAATCAGCTGCATAAGATCTGCCCCGTGGCCGTGAAAGAAGTTCTGCTAATATAACCTCGTGTTTCTACGTAGATGCAAAATAAACACTCATTTGAGAATGAGAACTACACAGGGGACAAGAAAGGCTGACTTTATGTGATCTCTCCATGATCCCCCTTGAGCCTCAGTCTACCCATATAGTATGAGCCCTAGAAGCCCATAAAAGGGTCTTGCTAGATACTTCAAGCTAAATTCAACTCTTTGCCTCCAAGTGAGTCGTCTGACACTACAGCTCCCACACCTCCAGCTCTGCCTTGGGTCTCAGACACACAGCCTTGGGTAAGGCCACAGGGCCCAGCTTTTCCTGTTTACCTCATGCTAATTTCCCATGTTTGTACTGATTATCTGTGCCTTGTCAAAGACATGGGAATAAACAGTAGCTATTAGCCCTCTTTAGAATCCTACAGGCTGGGGAATCCTCCAAGCCCCCTGTGTCCTGGAAACAGAGTCCCACAGGGTCAGGCAGAGAGCACCCAGAGGAAGCATTCCCTTCCTCATAGTGGTCCTTCCAGGCAGAGAGAGTCCCAGTTCACACCCCTACAGGATGGACTATGGGCCAGCCCTGTCCTTCCCCCTACATTCCTGACTTGGGACCATTGAGTGAAGCAAAGGAAACTGGCTGGAGCCAGGCCAGGTTTCTGGTCTTGGACTCCACTCCATCTTTTATTCAGAGAATGATCTCATCCTTGGTCCACATTCTCTAAAGGGAACTGCAGGGGGTTTCTTTTCTGGAGCCTGGAATGTACTTTTATCGCCCCCCTCTCCTCCTTAAGATCAAAGAAATCGACTTCACCTACAGATGATGGCCAGATTTTAGGTGTCAGAAGAAATACCACATCTCCCCCACTTCATCCTGTATTTTCAGTTTAGCCTCTGACCTATCCTGGGTCCTCCTCTTCACCTACATTTCTTTCTGATTAGCCTTGTCCTACCCTGGGATCCCCAGTTACCCCTACAGCTCCCCTCCTCCAGGCCCGGCTTCACTTACCTCTAACTCATCTGGTCTTATTTTTAGATCCGGCATCTCTCCCTTTCCCTTTCTTAATATGGCGATGAGCTCTTAGGCCCGCATGGGGCCAGGGGCTGAGGAGCCCTAGACACTGGGGGAGGGGGAAGGAAGGAGTTGCTGGGAGCCTAGGGAAGAGGTGTAGGGCTCTCATGGAGCTGTCCTGGCCTCAGAAGGTTATCCATCTCCCCTGCCAACCACAGAGACATATTTAGACAGGACCAGGTGGGGACAGAGGGGTGCCAGCTTCAAGGGGCAGCTCCGGTTCCCTCCCCGCCCCTGCTCCTATTCCTCGTCCTGACCCTTTTCCACTTGGCTCTGTGGGCAGTTTCTCCAGGACCCAGCAGCGCTCTCTGTCCTCTGTCTAGCCCACTCGCTACCCCACCCCCACCTGGAGCCCCTAACTCAGGACTCTGCATCCAGGGGGCACGTCCCTATTTCAGCTAACCTCTGGACCAGGAGAGTACACCCAGATCCCACTACCTCCATGAGAGCTGCTGACAGGATGGGGGCCAGGGCAGTGTCCAAGCTGCGGCTAGTGCTGCTGTTTGTTCTGGTGCTAGGGACACCCAAGTCAGGGGTCCAGGGGGAGGAAGGGCTGGACTTCCCTGAGTACGATGGTGTGGACCGTGTGATCAATGTGAATGCAAAGAACTACAAGAATGTGTTCAAGAAGTATGAGGTACTGGCCCTCCTCTACCACGAGCCCCCCGAGGACGACAAGGCCTCACAAAGACAATTTGAGATGGAGGAGCTAATCCTGGAGGTAAGTAGAAGACAGCAGGCCTCAAGAGCATGCCCAGTCCCCTCTGGGAGCCCCAGGTATGAGGGTGGTGGCTGGGGTCAGAACATCACGGGGCCTTTGTCTTCACAGAGAGCATGACTGGAACGAGGCCTTAGCCAAAAGAAAAAGACTCAGGGACCAAGGTCCTATCCTTTTGGTAACTTCAGGGCCGGTGCTGTAGGAGTCTGCCCGCTCGGCGCTGTAGAAGGCAGGGGCACTCGGTTTGGCTAGGATGGAGGAGAGCTGCTTGCAGTACTATGCATTGTGCTCCAGACCACCAATGTACTCTCCTAGCCAAAATATGCCCCTCTCACCCTCTGGGGGCTGTGCTCCAATACCCAAACAGCAGGGATGTAAACATGATGCTTTATTTACCTGTAACTGATTTAATGGCTATATGGTTAAGTATCTTCTAAAGGCCTCCCATGGCCCCAGCCCAGCCCCTCACCTTCCCCCAACTCCTCCTTTGTCCCTACTGGATCAAACAACTGTCCTCAGTAGAAAATCCTTGAGGTTGAAGGAGACCAGCCTGCCTTCCCCATCTTTTCTTTCAGAGAAGGGATTTCTTTACCCCTCAATCTGACTTTACCCACAGCAGAGATGGTTAATACAAAAAAATGGCAGGGTGTAGGGGGTCTTTATAATTGGGACACATGGCCATGCACATCCTTAAGGGAACTAAGATATATTTGTTTCCTTGCCTGAACTTACCTGGCCCCTTCTCTGGTTTATTGATACAGAGAGGCCCCACTTTGTACGGAATTTGGGAAATTTCAGTGAAAGACACTAGGCTCCAGGCTTGCATTTCTGTGTGCCCCGTTGGGCTCTGGAAACCGCTGTCTGATTAATGAGCCAAGTATTTTTATCCTGAGTACTCAGTGGCCTCTGCCATCCACCTGCCACCCGCCCTCCGGTTCCCCCGAGTCACTGTGCGGCAGTGTTGGGTGGGGGTACAGCTGCAAAGTATGCCCACGGCAAAAAGAATCGGTGGACTGCAGGGTGGGGAGCTTGTGGGGTGGTGACCAGGCCCGAGCGACTGAAGACTGGTTACCAGTGCTACGGAAAGGAGGAGACTGGAAGAGGAGCACTGCCTAGTTTCTCCCGGTGGCTTCTCCCTCCACCGGGAGATGAACGGTGACCTCTTGACTTTGTGGCCTTTCCCACCACTCCCCCACCCCACCCTCCACAGTTCTCACTTTGGGAGTCACTTGAGGAGCCCAAGGGCCCCACAGTCCCTTATGCTGAGTTTGGCCTTTGATCAGGATGGAAGGCAGGGCCCAGCCTATCATGGAAGGTGAGACTCAGCTTCCCTCAGGAACATTGCAATGAACAGTAAATACCCATGATCTTTGAAAAAGTTGAGCCCGAGACAGGCTAGGATTATGGGGTGTCCGGGGATAGCCTGGGTCTTAACCAGTGGTCAAGGTCAATGCTTGAGCTTCCTGTACTTCGGTTGACCTGATAATAGGAAAACATTAAATGGGGAAGGGGTTAATAATTCTAGGGGCTAATTGTAATCCTGACTCTCTCTCCAGTTAGCAGCTCAGGTCCTAGAAGACAAGGGTGTTGGCTTCGGCCTAGTGGACTCTGAGAAGGATGCAGCTGTGGCCAAGAAACTAGGTAAGGGAGGGGAAAGGGGACAAGAAGCAGAAAGGAGATGGAAGACCAGAGAGGCCGACGTGGAGGACTTGGGGAGATCTGAGGGCTCAGGAGCTCTCCCACCATATCTATTCTGAAGTGGCGGGGGGTCGAGGTTGGGGACTAGTCTGCATAGAGACCCATGCATGCTCCAATCCCAGCATGAGACGGGGTAGGGCGGGGTGGTGGCCTTCATGCTTATCTAGAAAATGGCTAAAGCTGGACACGAGCATGGGCGTGGTGGCTCATTCTTGTCCGTAGTATTGTGGGCTCAAAGCCTCCTGGGTTACACAGTAAAGCAACCCCTCCCCCCAAAAATGCATGTAGATACTTTGTATACAATTTAGTTAAAAAAAAAAAAGAGGAAAGAAAAACACAGCTGGGTGTTGGAAGGAAGGGGAAATCAAGGAATATAGGCATAGCCAGAGAGACCTTCTGCAAAGTTCTTTTCCAATGTCCCCTCCCTCCCCTTTCCCTATCCTCCTCCCTCCCCCACTTAGCAGGGCCCAGATGTTACACGCCCGACCACTAGGTGGCAGCACAGGCCGGACACCGGATGGATGGGGGAAGGGTAGTTAGCAACAAGTCATCTGGCTGGCAATAGCAGAGAAACGGCTCCTAGAGTCTTCAGAGATGCTGGCAGGAATACCCATCCCTGTCTATGTAGGCAGAGTAAGGGAGCTGTGCTACTAGAATCCGCATCTTTCCAGTTTCCCACCCCTCAGGCCCTACCTGCTCCCCCCATCCCACCCCTTAGCCCAGCTTCTTCTCAGCCTGCTTGGCTGTGAGGCTAGCTCCTGAACTAAATCCAGAGACATGGACATAGGCTAGCTCCTGAACTAAATCCAGAGACATGGACATAGGTTGTAGGGCTTGTTGAAGGTAGTGGGGGTGGGGAGAAATGGAGAGGTAGAGGATGAGTCTACCAGGGTTATCAAGAGGACTATAAACAGAAGTTAAACTCAGGGAAGGCTGGGTCATAGCTCACCTCTCATGTGCTCCTTAGGCCTAACTGAAGAGGACAGTATTTACGTGTTTAAAGGCGATGAAGTCATTGAGTACGATGGCGAATTTTCTGCGGACACTCTGGTGGAGTTTATGCTTGATGTGAGGATTCCCCTGAACCTGACAGCCTTCAAGTTTCCAATGCCCTTAGTGCCTAATTTACCCTACACCCCTACACACACCACAGATACCACAAACCAGACACACACATACACTACATACGCTGAACACACCACATGCAACAAACAATAGATATTGCATACATAGATCATATAGATCAGACACATGCACAGAAAACATCCACATACCACACATATATACTCACATATATAACACACATCACATATATGTACCACATATACCAGACCCACAACATATATACATACAATGCCCACTCCTATGTAGTAGACATGACAAACAACACACACATATCACACATAACATGCAACATACACAATTTATAGCAGACATATACCATGCACATCAGACCCATAAATAAACCCCACATACAACAACATCACAAACATATACCCATGTAAAACAGAAGACAGAGAACATATATCACACACATTGCGAAACCCTGAGACTACACACGTATACTATTAACAGTGTACAACACATGGACCACATGCCCACCCTCTACCAACATCTAACTCCTCTTCTAGTCTCTTCCCTCCCCCTAGATCCCTCTCTGGGTCCTATCAGTGAGGACAGAAATGATCTGCTCAGTGTTCTTGCTTGGCAGGTCCTAGAAGACCCTGTGGAATTGATCGAAGGTGAACGAGAGTTACAAGCATTTGAGAATATTGAGGATGAGATCAAACTCATTGGCTACTTCAAGAGCAAAGACTCAGAGCGTGGGTAACAGCTCCACTGCTCCCTTCTCTGGCCCTGCATGCCGCCTGTCCTCCTGCCTCCCTGCCCCTGCCTGTGGCTCAGCATCTCTGGCTCTGAACTCCCCATGCCTGTCCTTCCTTCCGCATGGCCGGCTCCTTCATCTGTCCTGTCCCACCCCCACCCTATCCCCCCATTCCACCACTTCCTCTACAATTCTATTGTATTTTATTCTCAGAGAACTAGAGGTTAGAGGGGATGGGTCTCATTCTGGGACCCACATGTCAAGGAAGATCTGCAGAGAAGCCAGGGGGATGATTCTCTGGCAGACCCTGAAAATGACTATCCCTTCTTCCCCTCAGATTACAAAGCCTTCGAGGATGCAGCTGAAGAGTTTCACCCCTACATCCCTTTCTTCGCTACCTTCGACAGCAAGGTTCTCTTCCCCACAGCCACACTGGGTCCCCCTACACTCTTAAGTTGCCCCCAGCCTTCTCTCCCAGAATTGATGGGGTCTTGGTCTCATCTACATGCTACTCCCTACCCCAGACTCATCCCTTCCTTCTCCTATAGAATTGAAGGGAAGAGGGCCATTAGATTGTCTAACTCACCTTTGCCGTGTTAAATTAACCCAGAGAGGTTAAGACACTCCCCCAGTGTCACTGTGGCAGTGACAGAGACCCACATTTTCTGGCTCCTTTTCTGCAACCTGTTTCCCTTTATACCAGTTCTCACTCTGACCCTTCATCTCATACTCCACGACTCTTGTCCACTTCCTCAAAGGTGGCGAAGAAACTGACACTGAAGCTGAATGAGATCGATTTCTACGAGGCCTTCATGGACGAACCTGTGACCATCCCGGACAAACCCAACAGCGAAGAAGAGATTGTCAGCTTCGTGGAGGAACACAGGAGGTGGGGATGGAGCAACCCTCTTACTGAGGCAGCTTCCTCCTGGGGCTAGAACACCAGTCTGTGAGGTGGTATGGGAAACGAAAGCAAGCCAACCTGGAAGCCAGTTTCCGCTGGAGATGAATACACTTCCGGGCACTGGTGCTCACTGACACACTAGGAGTTCTGCACAATATTCTGTGCTGCAGAACTTAGGCCCGAGCCCTACACCGAGAAAGTCCTCTGTAAATGTGTATGGACTGTGAGCCGATTATGATTTAAGTAATTTGTCAACAGATGAGTAGTGTGTGTGTTCTGACCAGGGACTTACGAGGCACCTTCTCTCCACTGTTAACTTCATTCTCTTATGGTTCTCAGTGAAGGCTCAAGGGGAGGAAGAGCAGGGACCGGGACTTAAGCCTTAACCCAGCCCCACCCTTTCTCATGCTCCCAACTAGCACTTGTCAGCAGAGGTGGAGGGAATGAATGGCCAGGGGGACAAGGATTTTGCCTTCCAGTGGTTGTCAGGCAATATTTCAAGACATTTTTGTCTGTGAGAGTGTGGCTGGTATTCAGTAATTAGAGGCCAGAGATCCTACTGTGCACAGGACGCCCCCTCCCCTCTGTGTCAGCGGTGCTGATGTTAGGAAACCCTGACCTATACTCACACATAATTCTCTTTCTTCATGTGACTCCACAACTAGAAGTACCCACTCATCAGTCTAAATACCACTTACTCTCTCCCACGAGATTCTTGCCTCTTTCCTTGGGGCACCATGTGTTTGCATAGTTTAACTCTACCCAGCTCAGTCCTTATAATGCATCTCAGCCCCTCCCCCTCCCGGCACAGGGACGTGAACCCAGGGCTTGGCACGCATTAGGCGTGTCATTCTATTGAGCTCAGGCTGTCAATTTTATTGAATGAGCAAATGAAAACAAAACAAAACAAAAAAATGACTACCCTGGTATCCAGTTCTTACCTCCCCTGCCCCAAAGTCTCTCTCCCCGTCATTCCCTTCCCAGTAACCATTGTTTTGCAGCCATGCAATGATCCAGGCCTGATGCCCAGAGCTTAGATTTGCTTGTTGGCTTTGTTCTGGGATACAAGCTGTCTATGCCCTAGGCCTGACCCAGTGATGGTTTCAGCGGTGGGGACCTTCTGGAGGGAGATGTTCTTGTCACGCACTGAATAGGGCCCCTGTCTCTCTCCTAGATCGACCCTGAGGAAACTGAAGCCTGAGAGTATGTATGAGACTTGGGTGAGTGCCTCTCGCAGGACCCGGTGCTTGGGGAGCAGGGGTGCGTACAAGTCTTAGAAATGGCCCTCCCTGTTCTTTGTGCCTTCTGCAAGGGGAAGAAAACGAGAGAGCGGTATCTCAGTCAAGGCGCAAGGTTTTTGTACTGAAGAACACATCTCAGGTGTCAGGCATAAATGAATATGACAAAGCAGTTTCAAACTCTGAGGGTAAAGGGATTACCAGAGCCGAAAAGGTGTCACTCAGAAGAGTCACCACCACCATGAAAATACAAGCTGGCATTCCGTCATGCAGACTCAGGCAACACCAAGGGGTTGACAGGAGTGGCGTAAGATCCCCCTCAGCTCTAACCCCGTCCTGTCCCCATCCTCTGACAGGAGGATGACCTGGATGGAATCCACATTGTGGCCTTTGCAGAGGAAGCTGATCCCGGTGAGGAAGGGACCCTGTAGTGGCCTGGGGGAAGTCAGGGGCAGGCGGTGTGCATGTTGGATCACAGGCCTCACACAGAAAACATTCCTGGGAGTTTGCAAGCAGCCTGGGGCCTGAAATGTGTTGGTGTGGGCGGCAAGGGAACAGGCCTAGGTTCCTGTCCACCATGTCCCTCTCCTTTCTGCCCCACATCACTCTTCTCCCTTCTGCTCCCCCCAAGATGGTTACGAGTTCTTAGAGACTCTCAAGGCTGTGGCCCAAGACAACACTGAAAACCCTGACCTTAGTATCATCTGGATTGACCCTGATGACTTCCCACTGGTAAGAGGCACTGGGATCCTAAGGTGGGGACTGACTTGGCCTGGGTGGCTTTTCTTTTGTCATTGTTTCAGATGTCTATCGCCACATCCTAGCTGGGGACCCAGAAAGTTATGCCTGTTGCATGCTCATGAGCAGTGCAGACACAGAGGGCATCCTGAGCTAGGGGGACGGGGAGAAGTGAATTGCATGGAGGCATAACATGTGATCCCAGATCAGAGGTGGACAGGTAATTAGTGTACCAGAGCTGAAAAGCAGTACTCTGGTGAGCAGCTGGATACAACTCTGCACATGAATGTATATTCAGGGAATCAGCAGATTCCATGATCCAGGAGATGGCTCTGTCCTCAGCTGAACCCCCGGCTTCTAACATTTATTGTTGGATGAGCAAACAGGGATGTGATGGAATACAGATGGTTGCCAGGGATAAGTACTTAGGTTACAACACGTAGGAGCTGGGCTGGCCAGATGGCTCAGAGGTTAGGAGCATGCGCTGTTCTTCCAGAGGACCTGAGTTCAGTTCTTAGCACGAATGTCTACAGGGGACCTGTTGAGCACATACTCTTCTGAAGTTATGCACACTTGTGGTAATCACTCATACAAACACACATAAATAAAAAATAATAAATCTTAATAAAAGAGAGATGTAAGAACTGAGGGCTCTGCAGAGAGAAGTGAGTTGCCCAAAGGTTCATAGCCAATCACAACCAGACCCAAGAACAAAGCAAGGTTTCTGTTCTTCTTCTCTGAAGGGAGAAGCTGCCTTCCTCAGCTTTTCCCTTTGAGGTTTCTACTCTTTTCACTGACTAGCTTTACCTACGGTCTATGGCTAGGCTGTCCATCCATCCATTGCCAATTCAACCTGCCTCCTTTTATACCTGGCCTGACTCATCCTCTGAATGACTCGCGTACTCCTAACCTCTGTTAAGTTGACGTATTTGGTTCTCTCCACAGTTGGTCCCGTACTGGGAGAAGACGTTTGACATCGACTTGTCAGCTCCACAAATAGGAGTTGTCAATGTTACAGATGTGAGTGTTCGTTCCTCATTCCTCGCTATGTACCAGATCATCTCCCACCCAATTACTAACCAGGCTCAACCGTGCTTCCCCTCCAAGATCAGACGAGACTGGGGATGGCTAGGGTGGTATGACCTCAGACAGAGCACCAACTCATCTCAGTATAGCTAGTTCTCTTCCACACTGTTGCTAACTAGGAAGCAAGCACTGCCCAGGAACAGAGGACATTCGGTCTAATGGCTGGACCTGTGGGGTGGGAGCGCATGACCAGAGCATTTGAGTCACCGCTCACTGGAACCACCTGGTCATTCTTCCAAGTCCAGTTCAACTTCGCATCCTCCATTAAGTTGTTCTTTGGAATTATTCCCTCTATGGCACCCCATCCTTGGAGCTCACTGGCATTGAGACCTTGCCTTTTAGCATCGTATCTCTTCTAGCAGATTCTTTTTTTTTTTTTTGGTTTTTGGAGGCAGGGTTTCTCTGTGGCTTTGGAGGCTGTCCTGGAACTAGCTCTTGTAGACCAGGCTGGCCTCGAACTCACAGAGATCCGCCTGCCTCTGCCTCCCAAGTGCTGGGATTAAAGGCGTGCGTCACCAACGCCCGGCCCTCTTCTAGCAGATTCTTAATATTTTGAAGGGAGAAATCTTCAGGTGACCACATAGTAGACACTTAATTGTTGAGCAGAATTGAATAGTGCAGTTTTTGCTTTCATAGTATTCTCAGTCTAATGGAATAGGCAAGTATTCCATTCACTGCAAGGCTGGCTCTGATAAATTGTATAATATAAACAAAATGCTAGCAAGGCTGCAATTTCTGCTTGAGAGACTCAGGGTAGTTTAAGAGAGAGGAGCATTACAATGGAGATCATGTAGTATACAAGATTTCAATAAGGGACAGGTATGAGTCTCCAACCTGAGAGTAAAGGGTGATCAAAGGACAAGAGCAATGCCAGGCATGGTGGTACACGCCTGAACTCTAAGCACTGGAGAGGCAAAGGCTGGAGTACTGTAGTGAGTTCAAAGCCAGCCTGGGTTACACAGCAGAGCATGAGGCCAGCCAGCCAAGCCTGTATAAAGCAAGTGCACATTTTGTTTGGTTGATTTTGAGACAGAATTTTTCCATATAGCCTTGGCTGTTCTGGGACACACTTTACAAACCAGGCTGGTCTCAAACTCAGAGATCTACCTGCCTCTGCCTCCCAAGTGCTGGGATTAAAGGTGAGAGCCATCAAAAGCATATCTTTAAAAAAAGAGTTAAAGAAGAAACAACACAATAAAAACAAAAAGACAGCAAAAAAGTGAATATCGGGTTTGGGACTAGGCAAGCATTTTTAAAAATAGAGTTTTAGAGTTTAAGCTCACTGAAGCTATTGCTAGAAAATCTTTCTGTGACAATCCTTGAATGTTAGCATCTGACTTTGCTCTGTTGGCCATGAGTAGCCACCAATGCTTCTACATCGCAGACATGAGAGAGATGCGTGCTCCCAGCAGCTCAGGGTAGCAACAAGGAAGGGGAGAGACTGAAGTCTCTGGCCAAGTCACCTTTCCTTTCTGCGCATGCCCATCGCTATTCCAACTCGCTCTTCATCAAGACCGTTCCTCTGCCACTGAAGCATGCAGGGAGGGAGAGAGGAGGTAGAGCAGTGGGAGGACCAGTCCAGATGTGTATTAAGTTTAGTTCCCGTCCCCTGCCTGTGCCATCACCTAGGCGGACAGCATATGGATGGAGATGGACAATGAGGAGGACCTGCCTTCCGCTGAAGAGCTGGAGGACTGGCTGGAGGACGTGCTGGAGGGGGAGATCAACACAGAGGATGACGACGACGACGACGACGATGACGACGACGATGACTAGTTGCTGCGGCAACCACCTACCAGCCCCACTCGCTCTTTATACGTACCTTCCTACCATCCACGCACTTCCCTGAGCTCCTTGGGACACTGGGTCACTCTCTACTATAGGGCCGACGGGGGTCTGTACACAGGGTGCTTGAGGTCCTGGTCTCCCTCACTGGTGAGAAAAGGAGCCCGGTTCTTTCATCTCTGGTTCTTATCCTACACCTCATCCGTATCTACTGTTTCTCTCCTATCACTCCCATACTTGTGACTGTACTGCCATTTCTTCTCTGTCCCTTCCAGCGACACAGTCTCCCACTTATCAAATCTCAAACCTTTCTGACTGTCCTAACCCTGGCCAGGAGGAGGGGAGGTACTGTGTTCAGGGATGTATCTCACCCATCTCGTGTTAATGTATTTGGGTCAAATGCAAGGCCTTAATAAAGAGATCTGGGGCAGAATGAGCAAGTGACTGTTGTTATGAGGTCTCACCCTTACGGCAGGAGGGAGGTGCCCGAAGGACGGGAGATTTAACTGAGTGCCTATGAGCAGGGGTAGGGGTGGGGGCTCATTCCAGGCAGTTATCCCAGGGAAGGCTGGATATTTATCTGCCTCCAGTCAACAATCCTTTGCTGAACACATGGTGTTTGTCTAGTGCTGTTGTTGGGTTCTGGAGGAACAGACAGTGCCAGGTCTGTCCCTGCTCTCAAGCTGATTAGCCTTGCTGAAAAGTCAAGACAGGCGCCCTAGACGACTGAAGAGTAACATAGCAATATGTAATGGATTATGTTGCTGCTGATAGTGCCCTCCCAGAAGCATTTTATTTGAACGTCAAAATGTGAGTCCCCTGTTCCTCCTCAGTGAGGGTCCTTCCAGACCTTGGCAGTCCTGCCGTCTCTTTCTGGGGTCCCCGGCGCCCTTTCTGTGCACATCTCCATTCTTGTACTTAACATACCCTGTCACTGCTCTTCAGTTACACAGCCGCTGAACTGAGTCCTGAGGGCAGGCACCCAGGCTTTCTTCTTATTTCCATAGGGCATTGTACATAAAGAATTGCACCCATGGATGTCTAAGTCTGGAAAAATGAGCCCTGAGATTAGGGAAGTTTTCACTCTCCACAGACAAATCCTGTGCTCTTAATGAAAACAGTGGAAGTGTACAGAACAGAAATCAAATATTCAATTGACTGTTTACACACAATGGATAGCTAATAAGTAATTGGATATTAGGTTACATCATAAAAATATTATGGTGTTTGTTTACTATAGGTCAGTGACAGCTATCAGACTAAGCAATTTCTTTTTTTTTAAGCACTTATGTGGTACTGGTCCCCAAAGACTTACTATTTCTGATTCCCAGACAACCCTATCAAGTGGCACTAGCATCCTCATCTGACTAATGACGACACTGAACTTTGTGGACTTAATGTCTAAGGACACAGTAAGCATGAAGTCCATATTCTCTGGGTCCCACTGCCTGGTTTGTTTCATTTAAATAACTACATGTTGTGCAGTTCCTCTGAGTCTCAAAGATGGGTCAACAAGATAGACTTCAGCCCTGCAAAATTAGAAACAAAAGCAAATTCTGAGGATATGCTATCTTCAAAGGGGCAATAGCCAGCCACTCTGGGGGAGAAGAACAAAGAGAAGCACTGTGAAACTTAAGGTGGCAGCAACATGACCTGCTTTTCCCAGAAGTGTGGCCCCAACTACGGAAGGACCCATCTGAGGCTTCTGGCAGGGCCTCTGCCAAGCTGGGACTGAGGCAAGATGGGGTGTTCTAGTGGCACGCAAACACACAAGATGTTCACACTTCGGGACCAGACACTTTCAGAGTTGAGTTGAGATCCCTTCTGCTGGAGATGGGGTGAAAATCGGATGCTTCTCTAATTCTCCCTTCCCTCTTTCAGTCTGGCTGAGAATCTGGGGGAGGAAAGTCCCCGAGGTGGAGGGGAAGTGAGAATTATCACACTGGGCCTAGGAGAGGGACAGAGCTAGGAGACAGCTAAGTGTGGCTTTGTTAGTTGTCTATATTTGCATGCTGAGCTCATGGCTTTTTTTCCCCAGAAAATAAAATTACATCATAGTGTGTGTGTGTGTGTGTGTGTGTGTGTGAGAGAGAGAGAGAGAGAGAGAGAGAGAGAGAGAGAGAGAGAGAGAGAGAGAGAGAGAGAGAGAGAGAGAGAGAGAGAGTAGGGTATATTTGGGAAAGGCTCTTCGCACAGGGACCCAGCTGCTATTATCCAGAAGAGATCATGGCTCCAGGCCAAGTAAAAGAGATTACCCCGTTACTGCCTGCCCCCATCCCTATTTCTATTCCTAGGGTGGATAAACTTGGTCATTTTCTACTGATCCTCTGACCTATAAGGCTGAGAAGCAGCTTTTCCAAAGTAGCAAGAGAACCCGGAGGTCACAGGCTTTCCAAACCCTCCAATCCAAATTGCTTCCGCCTTCCAGGGGTCCTGGCCACCGTGACCATCCAAAGGATAGAGGACAGAAAGGCGAATCACTGGGGAGAAAAAAAATGAGTATTGTTCCACAGTTTAAGTGGAAGAGGCAGAGTCCATAGTGGAGCCCAGTCCTGTCCGCATCCTAGGAGTCTGGATCTTCCAGAACCCCAGCCCACAGTCCCTGTCCCCTCCTGCCTCCCCTCCCCCTTCTCCCGCCGCTCCCCGCCCCCCGCCCCTCCCCGGCTCTGACATCACCGGCCAGTCGGGTGGGGTGAGGCGGTACTGGGCTCAGGCTCTGCTCCACGGGCGGAAGAGGCGGCGGCGGCAGGAGCGGCAGCAGCGGCGGCAGGAGCCAAGAAGCAGGCTCCAGACGCTGCTTAGGAACCGGGGACCCAGGAGTGCCCGCACCCTGAGCTCTCAGCTCCGGAGGCGGTGAGAGGGGCAAAGGGGAGATGTTTGGCGGGAAGGAGGTAGATTGGGGGTCTGGGTTTGGAGAGGTCACGATCCTGAACCCGGGGGACAAATCGGGGAGCTTGAAGATCTAGACAGGTCCACGGAGTCAGGCCCCGTGGGGTTTATGGCGGTGCATCCAGAGTCTGGACTGTGCTGCAGGCTGAGTGCCTTCGTCCGCCCATTCCGTGCTGAACAGCAGTTTGGGAGTCAGATGGGGCCCAGGGATTAGGATGTAGCCTGCTTCCCGCCCAGCCGGCCGGGCCAGGCCAGCTCCCGCCCCTCCCTCCTCGCTCTAGCTTCGGACTCGCCTCTGCAGGCAGTCTCCGGGCTCGCCTCAGCCCTGCCTCAGTTGCTGAGGCAGCGGGCAGCTGGTACGTGTGCTCTCATACCCAGCCTGCTGTGTCTGGGGAGACTGGGATTGGTGGACGCTTGCCCGGAGGAAAGGAGGAAGGAGTTGGGGGTACAGAGGAATGATGTAGCCTACGTAAAGACCCTAATTAATTTTTTTTAAAAAATCCGTGTCAAAACCTACGGGGACACAAAAACACCTTTAAGAAAAAAAGCCAACCACACAGTGACACACACCCATGTGACTTACACACATCCTCTCATACAAACCAAATCACAACATCCCTGCACTACGCATCCACCCACCCACCACAACCCATTGCCTCCCATGTGGAGTCTCCTTGACCGGAGCCTCTAAGACATCGTAACAGGAATGTTGAGTAGTGGATGGAGGGGCCACTGTCCACAGACGCACCCGGATTTTATGGGCAGCTTTAGTAGACAATACCTCAAGGACTGGTGAGCCTGCACTCTTACCTGGGTGAGGGGCTTCTTGTGACCTCCCTTGCCGACTGCACATTTTAGAGCATGGGTACCTGGGAGTGGCTCGATTCTGGGCATCCAAAGGATGGAGGAGGGGGTGGGAGCAAGGGAGAGGGTGAAAGGGATGAGTCAGCCAAGGATGGAACCCAAGCTGGAGGGAGGGGGAGATGGGGAGAGAGAGAGAGAGGGAGAGAGAGAGGAGAGAGAGAGAGAGAGAGAGAGAGAGAGAGAGAGAGAGAGAGAGAGAGAGAGAGAGAGAGAGAGAGAGAGAGAGAGAGAGAGAGAGAGGAATGTGAGAAGAAGATGGAGAAAGGGACGGATCCTGATCCTCCCAGGGAACCAGAGAGAGAAGAGAGAAGGGGTGACCAGAGGAACCAGAAGATGCTGGAGAGTAGGCTACAGAGGATCGGGAGTTAGAGAGGGTGAAGGAAGCAGGGAGTTAGAAGGAACATGTGAGCATTTGTGTCTTGTTTCTCTAGGTTATGTGTCTGGCCCCCAGGCTGTATGAGCGATTAGTGTTAATTGCTCTTCCCTTTGCGGTTAAACACTCCAGTGGGGAAACTGCCAGCATGCCCTAGGCTGCCAGCTTCTCTGGTTGCCTACTTATATGCCACCTGTGCTCAGCAGGTGTCACCTACTTCATACATAAGGTCACAGACGCACACTACACCTCACACACACAGCTTCATGTACAATGTCAACATAGCCATCTTCAGGTAGTTAGTAGCCATATATATATATATATATATATATATATATATGTATGTATATATATATTTCCCTCTCATCAAACTTTCTTATCAGTAGGGAAGCTCATCCCTTCCTTGTGGTAGCTCTGGGTATTTTGGTGGGGACGCTGAGTCTCATGAGGTTCAAATGTATCCATGGCTACCAGCAATTGGGATGAGTGAATAGGAAGAGCTGGAAGGTATGAATGCCCATGGGAAGAGTAAAAGGAGGTTGGGAATTTAATCAGTGGTCTTGCCCACAGCAAGCCCAAGACCCTGGGTTTGGTCCTCCAAAGTGGGGCTAAAAAGGTAGCTGAAAGAGGTAGAAAAAGAAACTAAAAATGCCTGAGGAGGAAGGAAAAGGAAGAACTGAGCTAGTCTAGGGAGAGTCACAGAGCCCATTACCTGCTCACAATCATGAAACCCTCTTCTGCCCTGCCTAATCCAATGCCAGCCTCCATCTTGGTTGCCTCCATCTTGGGCATGGCCCTGTCCAGTCCCAGGTTTTCTTCTTAGATGCACATTTTGGAGCCCTCCTCCCAGGCTGACCTTGAAACTGTAAAACCCTCTTCTTTGTTACAGGAAGAAAGAAGAGTGTGCGGTGAGATACCCAAAACTGGATAAAAAGGTTAGGGGAGGAAGTCAGTTAAGATACTGGGAGAAAGTGCTCTGTTCTTCTGCTTGGGTCTGGGACCCAGACATCGCTTACCTTACTTACCGGCTAGCTCCCTTCCCCACCGCTGACTACTTCCTCAGCTTCAGACAAGACTGACTGACTTGAATGCCAAGGAGTCCCCCCCTGCCCATTAAAGGGACAGGCCCTTGCATCTTTATCGGGGTCCCTTCTCCCTCAGCTAGATAACAAATGGGGAGGAAGGGGTAAAATCTAGTCCTCAGGCTTCCTTTTTAAGTTTCCCCTGTGGGACCAAATGTTGGGGAAAGGGGACTGACCGTCTCCCGCAAATGAGTGTCAGAGCGAGTGCTCAGACACAGGTGCTTAACC